AACAATGCTAGCTAGAGTAGAATGAATAAGAGTGAATGAACAATGCTAGCTAGAGTAGAATGAATAAGAGTGAATAAACAATGCTAGCTAGAGTAGAATGAATAAGAACAATGAAACCGAAACAAAAGTGCAATATCCTTTTAATTAAAACCTTTCATTAAACTTCTGACTTAGCTAAATTAATTTTTTTCGGATTTTTTTTTCTTCAGATTTCAAACATATTTTAAACTGTTTTTGCAATCAATCATATGTTCAAGATTTAACCCAAATATTACAAATCTTTAATTTACATTAAAACATGTAATAAGAAATAAAACCGATAAAGTAATAATTGAAAGAAAAAGAAGGAAAAAGATTAAATTTAAAATACAGGGTGTCCCACGAAACATGACAGTAGGTGAAAAGTTCTTCCATATACTGTATTAGATAATATAGACTTTTTGCAGTTTATTTAGTTTTAAAAACTTGACTCAATTTTACTTAGAAATCAATTTTACTATAACATGGATGCCATAAAACATTTTTTATTATTCTCTTTGGCAACACACAACTAGACATATTATGGAAGAAAACTATTCACCAACTGTCATGTTTCGTGGGACACCCTGTGGGAAAATCTATACAAGTGAATATCAAATAAATGTTTTCCTTTAAAGGTTTCGAGTTTAGCAATAAATTTTCGATTCCAAGTTTAGAAATAAATTTTCGCTTCCAAGTTTAGAATCTAGAATTTGAAATAAATTTTGTAATCTAGGATCTAGAATCTAGGATCTAGAATCTAGGATCTTGAATCTAGGATCTAGAATCTAGGGTCTAGAATCTAGGATCTAGAATCTAGGATCTAGGATCTAGGATCTAGAATCTAGGGTCTAGAATCTAGAATCTAGAATAGCATGGCATATTTGCAACAACTATGGAGCCCAAGTTTACAGTATGCTTATCTATAAGAAAACGTATGAAAAAAGGGTTCATGTGATGTCTATATTCTTATTTCAAGTGTATTCTAGGAATCTAGGTTTATGGCACACGAAAAGAAAATAAATCGCTTTTATTTATTATCATTTTTTTTGTCAGTAAATATGATTTTACACTTACGTTGGAAGAGCTACAGGGTATCCCAATTAACATGGGAATTCAGTGACGAATTCGATATGAATTATCATTGTAATACTTAATTTCAAAGGCCATAATATTATTATGTCTGATAGAGTTTATTTTATGAAAACGGTAAATGGCTGTAAAGATGTGTCTATAATGTCTCCCCAAGATGAACAGTGAAGACGGACAAGTTTACTCTGATTGTTTACTGTAATTTTATTGTACAACCGTATGCAGTCAAAGCATAAACAAACAAATTGTAAACATAGCAGACGAAAATCTTCCGGATTACAGCTTTCTTAGTAGGTTCTAGGTATCATTATACTCAAAGAATTATTTTAAAAGACGATATAGCATTCGTCACTGAATTCCAATGTTTATTGGGACACCCTGTATGATCTGGGTAANTTAGTAGGTTCTAGGTATCATTATACTCAAAGAATTATTTTAAAAGACGATATAGCATTCGTCACTGAATTCCAATGTTTATTGGGACACCCTGTATGATCTGGATAACTGAGGTATATGATTATATACTTACGTTGGTAGAGCTATGATCTGGATTACGTAGAGACTAAGATAAATGATTATATAATCACGTTGGTAGAGCTATGATCTGGATTACGTAGAGACTGAGGTATATGAGTATATACTTACGTTGGTAGAGCTATGATTTGGATTACGTAGAGACTAAGATATATGATTATATACTTACGTTGGTAGAGCTATGATCTGGATTACGTAGAGACTAAGATATATGATGATTGAGCAGATAAAGTAGGATTCGAGCATCTTATCCCTCTGTTTACTATACCTCTCCTAATCAAGTTAGATATTAAGAAAATACAGAAGGGAAATTTAATATTATGCTTATGTCTGGTCTCGATAATGATAATATTGTAATAACGTTAAGAAAATATACTAAAATAAGAAGATTAAGAAGAAAATAGAAGATGTTAAAGGGACTGTAAGCGTAATTTAATCCAATCCAATCGAAGATATCATTGCCCGATATACAACGGTAAAAGTTTTGTTTAATCAAGAAGAGAAAAGATCAGAATTAAATTTCGAATCAGAAAAACGACGTTATCTTCCACAGTTTGATCAGATTAAGGTTTCAAAGGTACCGTTGTGAATTGGGCATTGCCATATTTGAATGGAAGGTCACTTGAAATTTCACTTACAGTCCCTTTAAATGGAGTGTTTATATCTTTTTAGATTAATATAAAGCCGCTTTTTTGGTCATTAAGTTGTTTTAAAAAATAAACCAGAATCTAATTATTTAAAATATGATAGCAGTAGTACACTCAAGAGGTTTATTTAAAAAAGCGAACTTTAGCAAAATTAGATTAGATCTTTTATATTAGCTTTATCTATATAGATAAAGAAGTGATCTCTGTTTGTTTATTTTTATTGAGGAACTCGGCTGAACCACGGAAATGTTCTTAGTCTGGGTGGAATTTTGCATGAGAAGCTCCATGCATCTCTGGGTTTCCAAGATTTATGTATGCTAGCTTGGGAACCCAGCTTTGACGAGAAACTGAACCCGACTTATAAATTTTAAACAAAGCTAAGAATATTCCCGAAGTTNAAACAAACAGAGATGACTAGTCTAAACATATATAGATATATAAAACCCTAATTTTGTAATAAAAGAACACAACCAAGTATTGTATGGCGCAATTCACCAAGTCTGCCTTCATTTTTTAACCAATTAGAATTTTTAAGCAGAGTCGCAATCCATAATCTTGCTTCTATCTGTTGCGTCTATAAGGAGAAAATTGTTAAAAACGACTCATACCGAAGAACATAGCGTCCATACAAATTCAGAAAGATGCAACATTCGACTCGGAGCTTAAAAAAATCAATTTAATTCCGAACAAATCATTTAGATATGACAACCAATAATCATCGATAATTTTGCGACACATTCGTATATAGTTGATATTGCATAATATTTTTACTTGCTTCATATACAATATACTTTAAAGAACGTTTATTTGGCCGCTAGGTGCCTTTGCTTTTGATTCTTCTGGAGTTCCACGTGGAAAAGACTCCAACGACACCTTGCGACAAAAAAATCTTCGTTCAAAGTACATCGTATATGAATCAAGTAAAAAAATATAAAGAAATATCAACTATATTACAAATTCGTTGAAAATTATCAATGACTATAAGTTGTAATATCTGAATGATTTGTTTGGATTTAAATGGATTTTTTAACGATCCGAGTTGAATGTTGCAACTTTCTGAATTTGTATGGAAGCTACGTTCTTCGGTATGAGCCGTTTTTAACAATTTTCTCCTTACAGACGCAACAGATAGAAGCAAGATTAGTAGCAATAGCCTTCGACAATCTTTCGACATAAGCTTATACCCCCTTTCATTTTTCGCGAACACTCTGTTTAAATAATAAAAAAGTACTTGTTTGAGCTTAATTTATTTTACAGGGTGATTCAGCAATTATCTTAAAAGAAAACCATTTACCTCTATTTCTTTATCTCTGAAAGATAGAAAGAACCTGGTGCAGTGTTCTGAGCGCAACCTATCAATACTTCTTGCATCAATAGCTCGAGCTAGGTAATCATTCACTTCCTCTTCAGTATTCCTTTCTTCCTCTTCCTTACTCGGTCCTATACCCAACCTGGAGTAGAGATATTCATCATTCAGATCATTTATTATTTATCATTCATCATTCATCATTCATCATTCATCATTCATCATTCATCATTCATCATTCATAATTCATCATTCATCATTTATCATTCATCATTTATCATTCATCATTCATCATTCATTATTCATCATTCATTATTAATTATTTATCATTCATTATTCATTATTCATCATTCACCATTCATCATTCACCATTCATCAATTACATTTTAGGATGCTTTGTCATTACCCGTGATAGAGACAATGAAAATCGGCGCTTACGATTCCCTTCGTTCAAAAAGATGGAAGGGGGGGGGAGTTTGGGGATTTTGCCAATGATAGGCCTGCGAATTTCCAATGAGAAGTCAGGATTGAAAAATATGCGACGAACAACCAATCAAAAGATTGATTCATTATGCTTTATTTCTAATCTAATCCAAAGCTCATGGATTCATTCAATAGTCTTTGTTTAAGGAGCTTAGCGTTATCTAAACTAAAAGTATCCAGCTGAGTAAGTTATTTTCTTTTCTCTCTAATTAACAAATAAGGAAAAGTTTTACTCCTCGAGGACTTGTAAATATTATGGCTATTGGCACAACAGTGATGGAGAGAAATATTTATTCAATTTGTATCTCTTTTTTTCATACAATAAACGCCTAAAAGGAACTGAACACGTGTTGAGTAATAGCAGGCTATCCCAGGATCCAACCTTTTATTTTATTTCGCTATGAGCAAAGTTTCAGGGCTCAAATACAAGTGTTGAATTCCTATTGGTTTACGTCACCAGACGGGGGCGTATTCGAGTTGCAGGTATGTGTAAAGTGAAACATATATCCATAGAGAATAGAATAGAATATATAGAGAGGAATTAAAAGAATCTCTCGGTATGAATTTTTTCAGTCCCTTTCAGCCTGAAAGGGAGTTCAAAGTGTACAAATCATGTAAATGTTCACAAATTATATGCAGTAGAGTATATTAATACAGTATGTTCCCTAGACTATCCATTTCAATTTCGAATTTTTTAAACTGTTAAATAAACTTTATAATGAATTAGGTGAATAAAAACATCATTTGATTTATAGTTATAACGGAAAATCATCGTCTGTAAAGTGGAAGGCATAGAGTCTATGTGAAATGATCATTGGTCAATAACCAGCTTATTTCATAATTTGGTTTTCTTTTAACAATAGTTCTAGATTTTCTATAAAATGATATTCCAGGGCCCAACAGGTTATATAGCACAAATATGTGAAGTACACCTGCAGTATGGAAACAGTACAACAAAATGGCCGTTTTATACTTTTTTCTTGTTAATTCCTCTCTATATATTCTATTCTCTATGGTTCAAACCTAGGGTAAAACAAAATTGGGTAAAACGAACTAGGGTAAAACGACATTGGGTCAAACAAAAAACGGTCAAAAACGCGACAAAGGGTGAAACAACAAAGGATCAAAATGGAAAAACATATTTTATGTATTATTTCAGGGTTAGGTTAGGTTCTGAATATTCTGGGCCGAGCGCTGCCGCTAGGGAAGGCTAGGGGGCGGAGTGCTGCAGCTGGTAGTTCAAATGAACATTAAACATACCATGAAAATATGTATTATTTCAGAGTTTAATCAGGTTAGGTCAATTTCTGGGCCAAGTGCTGCGGCTTGGACAGGCTAAGGGACCGAACGCTGTGGCTACTAGTTCTAATGAACATAAAAATAGTTCAAGTTAACCAAAAAAAGTCTAGATGAAATTTTGCCCGTTCTTCGCATTTTTGACCGTTTGTCAGTTGACCATATGACATTTGACCCTAGGTTGTTTGACCCTATGTTGGTAAATCATTTGTATTTACCCCAGCTAAGGTATGATTGATTGATATTGGTCAGATTTTTGCTAGTTTAAAAGACGCGGAATTGTGGGCGCAAATGCTGGAAACATTTATGCAAGTATTTAAGTTGCGCTATATACTGGAAGTTATTTATGTGTTGTTATTTGGAGTCTGACTCACGTCCTCTATAATATAATAATTTTATTGTTTTCAGTGCATAAAGTGTCTAAACTGTTCAATTATTGGTATATTTTTGTGCAGTTTCGACTCCAGAATTGTGCACTTTCGCAGAGCGGATAATGCGAGTTTGATTTGTGTGCATTCACAAGAGTACAAAACCCTGAGTATCTCCAGAATTGCAAGGTAGCTTTTTATTTCGTTTAGGGTTAGGGGTGCTTTTAAATTTAAAACATTTTTGGTCGTTTGTCATTACGACTCAACAACACGTGTCGCAAACGCTAAATTGATAATCGTTTTATCTTTCCAAACTGACCTTTTGTTGTAGACCTACGGTACAGTGGTATCAAAACAATGAAGACGACTTTTTAAATAAAGTTTTTTATGTTAATAAGCTTTTTCCGAATCACAATCATACAAGTAAGCAAAGAAAAGCTGTTATTGGATGGCTTTATTTTTCCATACTTTGTTTCCATGATTATGTGTTTCCATGATGTTTAAAAGTTTTTTAGAAATCAAAATTGAAATCCTAATTCGTCTTCTTTGATGACTTTAAATTAATTATTTCAGATTATGAATTCAGCTATACCAATAAGTCCAAGCTAGTTCATGATTTCAAACGTTTACACCATCATTGAGTTGCAAAGATATGTGATTAAAAAATTTCAGGTTGTGACAATTGAGTTCAGCTTTCGGCTAGGGGAAAGTTAGTGGCCCTTAAAATTTATTTTGCATTATCTGAATTTTGAAAATTCACCAATATAAACAGGAAAACTTTTAAAAAGTTCAATGTTTTAATTTTTTCATTGTACAAAGAAAAAATGCTCGCAGTTAAAATTAATTCCAAAAAAAGAATTGAGAAGCGCCTTAAAGTCTTGTATCTAGAATGAAGAATCTATCAATACAATATATATATATATACAGTACACCATTTATATTATACTAGGCTTTTAGGGCGCTTCGCTCCCATCTTCTATTTAAATTGTGAACACGTTCTTTTTGTTTACATTTTAAAACAAAGAAGAAAAAATTTTGCGGATTTTTAAAAAAAAATTAGCGGATTTTCAAGAATTTAACTTTTTTTTTTACAAAATTAAAAACCTACAACACATTTTTTTAATTTCTATCATTCATAAACCTTCCCTGTGGTCACGTGATGTCCCACAAAAAATTTGGGCCCAATCGGTTCAGCCGTTTTGACGTTTATTGGATACAAACAAACAAACAGACAGACTTTATATATAGAAGAACGTGAGTCTAATAAAATCAATCATGTTAAGGTGTCCTACAAAATAAAAGCTCTCATATAAAAGTTCAAGAAAACAAAAATGTTCATAAGAAAAAAGTAATTGGGAAATTATAGTTTAAATAATTCATATTTCTTCGTAATTAAGTTTCTTTATTCTTTAATTAGAGATACTTATTCTGTGAATACAAATATTTCTCACTAATTTTATATTCATATATTTGTGTTAAATTATTCATATAGAATAAGATGAATACATAAATATATATCTTCATAACAAATATATTTAAAAGTATATATTCTGTACGTTACAATATAGATATCCAATACAAGTACTATTTTAAAAAGTTTTTTGTACTATTAAAAGTTTTCATTCTTCATCATTTAATACCACAGATGGAAAAATCAGTGGGCGAAGATAAGTTTATTTAAAAACTTAATTTTCAAACAAAATATTTGATTACAGTTATATGGACTGCAGCAACTACTAAATTCAGAATAAAATATAAAAACAAAACTTTTTTCCAGTACACCATAGTTTATAAATAATCAAAGAAGTAACATTTGTTTTAAAAAATACAATTTGAATAAATATTTAAAATACCGGATAGTAATAATCCCTCTTCGATATCCGTGGTGGTCACACCCTGCAGGGGAAATTTTAATTGTGGGATCAGAGCTGGAAACTTTAGAATGATGGATATCGGGATTAATGCTTAATCCACTCTTTTTCTTTATCTCCAGATTAAATATTGCTTGTTTACCCCATGAATTTAATCTCCAGATTAATTAAAAGATCGGGATTAAGGATATCACATTCTAAAGTTTTCAGCTCTAATTAACGATATTCCAAAAAAAAGTTGTAACCTCTGATTAGATAAACCAATTAATAAATCAACAGATATATATATATATAAATATTTAGTATATATTAATTCTATTAGTTTTCAAACTTCTAAAGCATATTTTAATTCAAATGTAAATAAACTGTTTTATCGCCACACACATCCATGTGGATTTTGACACATGAAACATAATTTTTTCGCTTTTTCTCTTTTAAACTTTTTTTTGCCGGAATTTGCGTTTTTAACGAAAAAGTTTAAAAAGACAAATCTGTAAGTTGAAAGGTTGTTGAATTATAGATCAACACAAGACAGAATCTAAATAGAAGAAACAGAATTTATCTCACCCTGGTTAGTCCGGGATGTCTCTAAATCTTTGAAAACTTTTATATTTCTAAAATTGACTATTTGATCCACCAGAATTTATAGATTACAAAATTTCAATTGTCTACACCATAAAGTTACAAAGATATAAAGATTAGGCCGTTAGTAAATGGGGCAAGTAATCAATTCCTTTACATGTTCCTAATCATAACTCTAACTTACTTGGTTTTAATCCCGGTTTGAGCGTGTTCTCCATGTCCCATCATCCGTAGCTCCTTACTGATCTCTGTACCAAGGATAACTTTTCCATTCCTCACAATCACATGCTTCTTGACAGAGTAGAGATCAGGGTTCAGATATATCAGGGTTTAGCTGTATATACAGGGTTCAGATATTAGGGTTTAGCTGTATATACAGGATTCAGATATCAGAGTTTAACTGTGTACAGTGTTCATATATCAGTGTTTAGCTGAATATAAAGGGTTCAGATATCAGGGTTTAACTGTATACAGGGTTCAGAAATCAGGATGTAACTGTTTTTACAGATCGGATATCAGGGTTTAACTGTGTTTACAGGGTTCAGATATCAGGTTTAACTGTATGTACAGGGATCGGATTTCAGGGTTTAACTGTGTTTAGAGGGTTTAGATATCAGGGTTTAACTATATACAGGGTTCAGATATCAGGGTTTAGCTGTATAAATATGGTTCTGATATCAGGGTTTAACTGTATATACAGGGTTAAGATATCAGGGTTTAACTTTATATACAGGATTCAGATCAGAGTTTAACTGTATATACAGGGTTCAGATCAGGGTGTAACTGTATATACAGGGTTCAGATCAGGGTTTAATCGTATAAACAGGGTTCAAATATCAGGGTTTAACTGTATACATGGTTCAGATTGCAAGGTTTATCTATATACAGGGTTCAGATATCAGGGTTAAACTGTATACATAGGGTTCAGATATCGGGGTCTAGCTGTATATACATACAGGGTTCAGATGTCAGGGTTTAAATGTATACATGGATTCTGATATCAGGATTTAACCGTATATACAGGGTTCAGATATCAGGGATTAACTGTATACAGGGTTCAGATATTAGGGGTTAACTGTATATGCAGGGGTCAGATCAGGGTTTAAATGTATAGGGTTCAGATATCTGGCTTTAACTGTATAACGGGTTCAAATATCAGGGTTTATCTGTATATACAGGGTTCAGATATAAGAGTTTAACTATATGATTCAGATATCAGGGTTTAGCTGTACATACAGGGTTCAGATATCAAGGTTTACCTGTATATACAGGGTTCAGATATCAGGGTTTATCTGTGACTATATATTCACCTGTTTAGCCGGGTTTGTGAACTGGTCTGGGGGTACAATTAGGTAGGTTTTTATATTGTGCTCCTGAATAAAAACATCAATATTAATAACAAAAACAAATATATATATCTATACATATATATTCAAAATAATTTAATAAAACATTGATATAATGGAAATGCATGAAGCAGACTGTTAATATAAAATAAATTCTAATTCGATATTTTAAAACTTAGACTATTTGATCTATAAAAATTCTTAGTTTAAAATATACAAGGTCTACAATATTGGGTTTCAAAGATATAGAAATTAGAGTATGGGGCAAGGACTCAATTTCTTTATTATGAGATTAAAAATTATGAATGTGTTTGTTTACATTAAAACCGGCCTAGTAAGGACAGATAAAAAAATAATTCATCAATTATTTGTAGATCGCAATTTTTGTTTACCAAGTTAGAGCCAAAACTGTCTGATGCAATACTTTCTTTACACCCTATGCATATTTATAATATAAAGCATGATATCTGAGGAAAAATTGACCGAGTTTTTAAACTTTCACAAAGTTTAAAATTCACAAGAAAATACTTTTAATAATTTGAAAGTTTTTCTTTTTCGTAAAAAAATACAATTTAAAACTTTAGTAAGGTTGTACGTTTTGCACTGCAAGTTAGATAGAAGGAGAAGGTTATATGCGAAATCAGTGGTACGACTTTGTAACCTCGTAGCTCCACCAGTGTTTATTTGGTAACATAATTCAAAACATTTTTGTTCTTCTCGATATCTCTTCTATAAAAGGAGTTCTGATTAAAAACAGTAAGTGCAATAAACTTTAGTTTGAGATGTTTACCATTATATACCACGTTTTTTAGACTAGGTCAACTTTGGAGTGTCGCACCATCTAAACTTTTGGTTTTATATTACAAACTAACTAACTTAAATAGTTTTCAATGAGTAATTGGCAAATGCGTAGCATGCACAATGCACATAGGTTTACGCATTGCATGCCTCTGTTTTTCTGTTTATATATATTCAATGGTATCTCTATCGTTTAGAAGATAATTATTTCTCTATATATATATGTATACATATATATATATGCATAGTTTACACAGATGTTTAAACTAACTTTCAGATTGAATAATAATAGTTCTAACCTTGAGATATCCGTGTCTCTCCGCTCCGTTTCCGTCCTCAACCTCGTAATCTCCGTTCAGGTACATCAAGGTCTCACGGGTTATATGGATCCTCCTAGGTATATATCATTAGAACAAGGTTCAAGGTATATATGGATCCTCCTAGGTATATATCATTATAACAAGGTTCAAGGTATATATGGATCCTCCTAGGTGTCTATCATTATAACAAGGTTCAAGGTATATATGGATCCTCCAAGGTATATATCTTTATAACAAGGTTTAAGGTATATATGGATCCTCCTAGGTATATATCATTATAACAAGGTTCAAGGTATATATGGATCCTCCTAGGTATATATCTTTATAACAAGGTTCAAGGTATATATGAATCCTCCTTAGAACCAAATGAAATATGAAAACTATATAATTAAAAAATATAAATGCTGTTTGAAAATAATATTGATTTAACGTTTAAAAAGAATCTATATAGCTTAGTTTGTACTGCATATGTAACAGTGGTACCATATTTCAGTATTTAAAATAAAATTATTGGAATAAAATTTGTCATTATTATATTCAAATTTTGGACTACTCAGAGATTTATTCTATTTGAAAGGGGGGGTAATTTCCCTCCATATGTATCTATAGGGGGAGACTATCATGATTAATGCAGCTTCATTCAAGTTATATCCTGAATGTAGTTTTATATTTAACTAGTTGAAGAGCATTATTATATAGATAAAGAAAAAACCAAAAAAAACATTTATCATCTACTTTTTATGTGAGTTGAAACGAAATTTTTAGTTTGATTTTTCTAAAATTATTATAAAATCATAAATCATAAAAACAAATACATTGATATACAACATGTATTTTTAGCCTGCACGTGCACTGGGTAAGTGTACGAAAAAATTTTTCTTGCATTTTTAAAAACCTCTGCCCCTAAAACAAATAAAACGATATGCAACATGTATTTTGCACACATTTATGCATTTTTTTTTGCGCGTACACGCGCAAAGGTTAAATGTACACAAATTTTGTCTACGTTTTTGAATTCCTTGGCACTAAAAACCCCTATTTGGTTTTATTTCATGTGTAAATAAGTCTAATAAATAGTTTTGTCCTTTTTTTGCAACTTCTGGACATGAAGGCCTTTCCTGTATACGCCCCTGCTGCAATGCTATGGAAACGGACCTAGAGAAAACCAGCCTTTATAATTTTTGAGTGTTTTTTAGAAAATATTGAGTATTTTTAATTCCCCGCGCTTTTTTACGGATTTAAATTTACTCCCAATTACAAGTATGTTAATAAATTAACCCCCATCCACCACCACCTTCATTATTTCACCTAACATAAACTAAATCAGATCAAATCAAACACCATTTAGGTCGGAAAACACGTAGGTCAATTTCTTTAATAGGTCAGTTGAGCGGGTACAGTCCCAGAGACAACTCTTACCCTGGAATCCCAGCACTCTCCATATAGTTTGCTAGAGTTACATCGTTGGACCAAACATCAAACTGCCATTTTCGTAATCCTAGGACACCGCAGTGTACACGTCCTGTATGTATTCCAACCCTCATGTTTACATTCACACCAGTCACCTCACGAACCAGTCTAAATATATACAAAAGTTTTAAAGAGTTACTCATTAACAGTCTAAATATAAACAAAAGTTTTAAAGAGTTACTCACGAACCAGTTTAAATACAAACAATAGTTTCAAAGAGTTACTCACGAACTAGTCTAAATAAAAAAAATAGTTTTAAAAGGTTACTCACGAAACAGTCTAAATATAAACAATAGTTTAAAAAGGTTACTCACGAACCAGTCTAAATATAAACAATATTTTAAAAAGGTTACTCACGAACCAGTCTAAATATAAACAATAGTTTAAAAAGGTTACTCACGAACCAGTCTTAATAAAACAATAGTTTTAAAGGGTTACTCACAAAGAATGAGACTTCAGAGAGACGACTGTATAGAATTTAGTTATTTTATTTCATGTATTGATGGTTTCCAATAGATTTAAACTGCTTTTGCTTGCTCTCCCAAATACTTATTAAATACTATACTTAAGAACCAAGTTTAACCCTCAGACCCTCAAAAATAAAGAGTTTCAAGTCTTCATTAATGTCTCGTCCTTTGTGGTTAGTACTGTATCATCGTTGTTTACAAAGGGGTAAACATGAAACAAGAAAGCAGAGACACTGAATACGCGCCACAAGCCTAATTTTCTCAAATTATATCTTTGAAACCTTTAATATTTATGTTACGTACTTTACTGTAGCAAAAAGTCATAGTTTGAAATATCAATGGTGTACATCATAGTATTGGAAGAATATTGGGATCAGAAAATTAGAGTTTAAGTCGAGTAATCAGTTCTTATGTCATGCCCTTAAAGTTAAAAATTAACCAAAGAAAAAATCAGACAAAAAAACTTTGAATATTTAATTTAATTTTCCTGTTTATTTTGTTAGGTGTGTGGGCGGGGGAGGGGGCGTGGGAAAATTGTACATTAATATAAGGTGTTGTGGATCTATGAACTTTATATATCTAACCCTGGAGATAGAAAACTGTTTTATATCTAATCCTGGGGGAACAAATTGTTATTGTGTCACATTCTATTGATGATGGGAGATAAATGGAACAACAATTTCAAGACAGGGTTTAATTTTCCTCATTAATAACTTCCTTAATAAACATTGTAAAAAAATGTTGAGCGTAATGCATAAGAATTTTATGTTGATTATATTCTTTTTTAAATATTAATATATTTAATTTGAGGAGTTTTTTTACTGTTCGTAACAATATGCTGATCATAAAAATTAAAATATTTAAGATTCTTAACCATCCAAATCTTAATCATCTATCTAAAGCTTTTAAAAATTATTTTTTTCGAATAATCTTCGAAAAAAATTAATAAATTCCTATATTATAGGCTGGGAATGAATCTGAACAAATAAGGAGATAAGACAAAAACTTGATGAATCTTAAAATTAAGAGGCTGCTGAATGCTGTCTAAAATGAGACTAATCGAGGATTTGACAGCTGATGTTTTTAGTACTAATTACTGTAACCCAGATTTGATTTAATTTTACGTAGATTCGTTTTTATCTAAAGTTTATCTAGATATCTTTACTTTTGAATAATAATTTTTTTATTTTCTTAGATTTCCTTGATTTAATTAAATTAAATTTTCTTATTTTTGCTATCCGATTTTTCTGCTCTTTTATTTTTTTTGTTATATAATATTTTTATTTAATATAGTATTTTGTGATAATTACAATTACAGGTAACAATTGATACTGGAAACCAAGCAAGGAATCAATTCCTTGCAAATTGTATATTTTTATTATATTATAAAGATTTATTCACACACAAAGATATAAATACATAAATAAATGGTGTAGTTAAAATTTGTTTAAATAAATTTTTTTTGAAAATACAGGTTTCCAAAAGAAAAGAGAAACAAAATATTCAAAATTATGCACAAATAGAAAACATTGATTTTTACTCACTACATAACATATTTATCATTTCAGTTATTACGTAATCATCGAATCCTTCAACATATAAATTATTTAATTGTGTAAATAGAACGTTTCGTGTTGGGTGCGGAGCTAAACCCACCCCTAAGTTATTTGTTAGCTTGGGGGGATTTGAAAAATATGTATCCACCATTTTGGTACCCCTAGTAGGAGTCAGTATTAATGCCAAGGTTCTAGGAGATGGCTGTATCTGAATACTGAAATTTCCTGAAGGGTTTTATCTCTACTCTATCTACCCGTTACTCAATTGTTAGTATTTGTTTAGTTCATGTGAAATATAGTTTGTTTAGTTCATGTGAAATATAGTTTGTTTAGTTCATGTGAAATATAGTTTGTTTAGTTCATGTGAAATATAGTTTGTGTGCTTTATTTTGTAATATTATTGAATTCACGTCGGCTAGTTCTTTATTGAATTCACGTAGGCTAGTTCTTTTCTTGTGTTTCAGAAACCTTTACAAATATATGATCTGTTGTTCTAATTTTGTATTATTATTGAATTCACGTCGGCTAGTTCTTTTCTTGTATTTCAGAAACTTTTACAAATATATGATCTGTTGTTCTAATAATTTTTTTTTTGTTAACTAAACATATTATTTTTTCTAAATATGAGATTTGATAATTTCTGATAAATTATGAAATCTTAAAGTGACACTTTCTTATAAACTTGTCCGTTCATATGAAATTGAACTCTGAATAATGCATCAGCGGACAAAACTAATGAGGAAAATTGTCTTCCCCCAGATTCAAAGGAATTTAAAATTTAGAAAATTAAACTTTTTCCAAAATATGAAATTTATCGACTTAATAGATAGAGTGCTTCCAGTCTTTGATCCGATTCAAGACAGAATTAATTTTTGGGATAAATCTAAAAATAAAATATTCAGCAGGGTGTTCCAATAAACATGGGAATTAAGAGACGACTTAATAATTATCTTTGATTTCCGGAAATTGATAAAAAACAAAAAATTGATCAAATGAGCTTTCCAAAATGTGGCCCGGCCCTCCTTCTTTGTTTGATGTTATAAATTAAATTGAAATCTCAAAACTTTTGCGTATTTCAAATGTTTTAACTGAGCATACTACTAAAATTGAGTCTACAAAATATTGCCGCGTGGAGCAAAGACGATTTAAAACACTCTGTTTACATCTAGATTACAATAGATTTTAATCTCTAATATGTAGATTCTGATGCGAAAATCTTTCAGTCCTCTAAACTAGAGATATAAACATAAATGTAAGACAATGAAGACCAAATCATGTCAACACTTCAAAGCCAGTCCAATCTACTTAGTTTATGAATGATTTAAATGACCTTATAGATTGCTGTGAATAATATCGATGCGTGATCAATTTTATTTAAAAATAAGAAAAACTCTCATGCTATCTATACTATGCAGGGTTACCCAAAAAGAATTATATTTTGATGCCGACCTATAAAAGGTTAATTTTGGTCTTCTAAAATTATTTTTAAAGATTTGGAGAAGGGACAGTATAAGGGAAGCAACCATAAATGTAAGAAATAAAACTTAATACATTCTGTACAGTCGTCGCTCTCTGCAGTTTTATCTTTTGTGGGTAACCCTGTATATATAGCTCAGTATATAGTTTAGTGCATGAAACAAGTTCTATAACTTGACCTGATGACTTGTTCTGTCGTGAGGAAATTTGAGAATTTACTAATTCTATTTTTATTTGTAAAATTTCAATTTTAAGAACCAGAAGGAATGATATTAGTATATATTTAGTAATTGCCAAATAAAATGCAGTCAAAGAAAGAGATGATAAAAAGTTACGCACTTTTTGAATGGTGAATAATTGAAGATTTAAAAAGGTTGAGGGGAAGTAACTAATAGTAAACAATTATCAAAAATACTTACGCAATAGCGTCAATCATATCGACTCCAAGTTCTACGCAGCAGTGCGCATGATCAGGACGAGGATCCGGTATTCCGCATACGCAATAGTAGCAGTCTCCCAGCAGTTTTATTCTCAAACAGTGATGCTCATTCGCCAGCTTGTCAAACCTTAATCAATCAATCAATCAAAGCATTGTTACCTTAGAAAATGTCAAAGCATGGAATATTATCAAGTTCCTTTCAGCTATGCATATGCATTATGTATAGTATTTATGAAGTGGTGGAGAATGTATCTCAAACGGAACTAGTTTGCCCTAGGGGAGTCGATAGTTGTCTGCCTGCCCGCCTATTTAGGTGTACACTTACATCTGTTTATTAAACAATAACAGAAGGAGATTCTGACCTAATAATCTAAACTAGAGTTAGATTATCATTCTTGCATTACGATGTAGTTTTAGGCCCAAACATTAGTAAAGAACTAACATACATGTAGTGTTTAATACACTAACCTCATTGGTTTTCCCAATTTTGATTGAAATTGAAAATGCTTTTTACAACTTAGAAAAACTCTGTTTTCTGATTTCCCATGAATTTACTAGGACACCCTGTACTGTGCATAGTGTGGTATTAAATTGAATTATAGCTCTCGATTGAGTATTTTAAAAGAATATCCAAAAGTGTAAAGCAATGAACGAAGTCCAAACTAAGTTAGAGAGAACATTTCCCCTGTATAGGACCTCATGTCCGGGATTCCTATTTGATGTAATCTTGTTAAATATAATGATATTCTTGTAAGCCTCAGGTTCCCTTCATGTATATTCATTCAGACATACATACATATGAATAGCAGAAAAAAAAGATGATAGATGACACACCTATTTTGGATAGGACCATATTTGGAAGTTTAGAGTAATATAAAAGTTGCAAGTCGGATATTGTTTAGGAGAAAATTATTTTTGGTTTACTTGCTTAGAAAATTTAATTTCTTAAAAAGAACTATAACATAAACCATGTAAAATATCAGATAGTTTATAGGACTACAGAAATGGAATAAATAAAACTGATTCAGTTTTATTTGATTGGTGTGACAAAGAACAAGAAATAAAACTGGTAAACAAGGCTGCACTAGGAATATAAATAGGATATTCTGGAACAGTCCTGTTCCAGGTAACACATTGTACACTGTACAGTAGGGTGTCCGGACTCCACGGATAACCAACTTTAGAAAATAGAAGCGCCCAGTAGCTTTTTCCATTCCAATGTGCTCCATGAGAACTAATACAAATTTTTAGCTCAATATCCCTAAAACTCTAGGATATAATCGCTGCTAAAGTTTGAAAATGACAGCTACTCAACTCCAAAATATTTTTTTTCCTGAATTGATCATGTCATTTATATCATTTTCTTTGTAATTCTCCAGAAAAATAAAATCCTTTGAAATTTTTTAAAAATGTCAAAAACCGCAAAAAAATGTACTTTTCTAAAAAACGAGCATTTTGAAAGATTTTTTGGACCTTATTCATTTATTTTTAATTTTTTTTTAATTTCAACGGATTCGAGTTGCCTTAATATATGTTAGCCCATCAAGTTTTGATGAGATATAAATAAAAGAGGAGAGAAAGTGTTTGGTTTGTTAGACAAAAAAGGATATAGTTCAGCTATTATCCCTATTCATTTCATCTCTGAAACACCTTATTGTACAGATAATCATGTACTGTATACCTGTATTGTACAGTTAATCATATACTGCATACCTGCATATTCATGTACTGTATACCTGCATTGTACAGATAATCATGTACTGTATACCTGCATATTGTAGATTTAACTATTTACTGTATACCTGCATTATCATGTACTGTATAACTGCATTGTACAGTTAATCATGTACTGTATACCTGTATTGTACAGTTAATCATGTACCATATATCTGCATTGTATAGCTAATTGTGTACTGTATACCTGTATTGTACAGCTAATCATGTTCTGTATATCTGCATTGTGCAGCTTGTCATGTACAGCTAGTCGTGTACTGTATACCTGCACTGTAAAGTTAATTATGTACTGTAAACTGTATTGTATAGTTAAACATATATTGTATACCTGTATACCTGTTAACTCTGTACTGAATACCTGCATTGTACAGCTAATCATGTATTCTATACTTGCACTGTAAAGTTGATCATGAAGTGTAAACCTGTATTGTACAGTTAATCATGTACTGTATACCTGTAGTGTACAGTTAATCATGTACTGTATACCTGTAGTGTACAGTTAATCATGTACTGAATACCTGGCAAACAGTTCGTTAAGAAGTCTGATAAGTTCCTCTGCAGTACATTGAGCTGACAATACAGTAAATCCGCAAATATCAGCAAACAGTATACTAAATAAACATTGAATTTTGAAATATTAACTATATAGGAATGCGTCGAAAAAATATCGATGATTATTGGTTGTAAAAAATGAATGATTTGCTTGGAATTAAATTGATTTTTTACAATCCGAGTTGAATGTATGGACACTACGTTCTTCAGCATGAGTCGTTTTAACAATTTTCTCCTGATAGACGCAACATATAAAAGTAAGATTAGTAGCGATCAAAAGCGCTTTTTTTTCGTCGTAAGTCTAAAGCCCCTTTCTTTTTTTCGCGAACACTCCCTTTAATATGGAATTTCTAATTGTATGGATCGCAGTGCGTAACCTTTTTTCCCCCCCCCCCTCTACATTTCGTGAATTATGATTTTAAACAATAAAATATCTTGGAAAGTTCAAGAATAAACATTTATCCCAAAGAGGATTTTATTTCTGCCCTTTAGGATATTTTTTTGCAACTTATTTTCAATGTTAGACATTGTAAACAAAAGCTTAGGAAAAGTTTAGAAAAAACATGATTACAAGAATAACATGTTTAGAGAAAATGTAACAAAAGTAAAAAAACCCCTTGATTAAAAACATCTGGTTTCCAGTGGTGATTCATTCAGGCCCACACGGGTGCTGAGGCCTCCTGGATTTTTTAACACCCCCCCTTGGAGAAATTTTTGTATACCCCACTGCCTCAAACAGCCTAATCTAACTTTCAACGATTCTTACCAGAATTTACCGTTGGGTTTAAAATGAATTTTTCCAGTTCTTCTACCATCTAATAATAGGTATTTATCTTAATGGGACTTTATCGCGGGGACCTTTCATCTCATGAGGGGCACATCCGATTCACAGTCAACAATATGGAAGATAACTTCATAGTAGCCAAGAAATGCGCATATAAAAACCATTAAATGAAAATAATCAGTTTTCAAATAAAAAAACACGGATATCTAATAAAGACCTAACTAGGCAAAGCTTTTAAGGAAAACGTTGTGAATCGGACTTGACACTTTTTTTTGTTGGTTAACTGAAGTTAGCCCAGTCCTAGATATATGAATACAGTTTGGAGAAGATCAATGGAGCATTAATATACTGCAGAATAGATCAAGGGTATCCTCATATTCAAAAGAATATAAATTAAATCGTATTTTCATTTGAAAAATGTAAAAAAGTGAAGTTAAACGTTTTATTAACAATTTTTTTCTACAGTAAAGTAACAATTTAACAAAGGAAAATGACATGAACTAATTGTAGCCGCCGCACGCGGCCCCCTAGCCTGTCCTAGCCGCGGTGCTCGGTCCCCTAGCCTGTCCTAGCCGTAGCGCTCGGTCCCCTAGCCTGTCCTAGCCGTGGCGCTCGGTCCCCTAGCCTGTCCTAGCCGTAACACTCAGACCCCTAGCCTATCCTAGCCGTAGCGCTTGGCCCAGTGCAGTGCTTCCCAGGATAAGCTTTTTTTACATTCCTCCCGGAAACTGCAGTACATATATTTTATGGAAGTTTGTTTTACATTCCTTAATAACTTAAAAGTCAACACGACCGTGCAATATAACAATTAATAATTTAACATTATTAATTAATAATTATTGGTTTAAACTCTTATGTGTAGCGAACAATAAGAGAAGAACTGTAAGAGAAGGAGGAAATATAGAGGATTAAAATTAGTATGAATATTATCCTTAATCCCTGGACCCTGACCAATCTATCCAAGAATAGAATTTGATAAGATCCAATATATATTGATTTGATAAAAATATAATTTCAACAAAAAAGTTAGGACGGAGAGATATTTCCTAGAGAAATATTTATTAGATAGTTACTTTCTTTATTGGATATATTTCCTAGAGAGATATTTATTAGATAGTTACTTTCTCTAGTTAGAGTTAGGACGGAGAGAAGTAAACGTTCCTAGAGATATATTTATTAGATAGTTACTTTCTTAATTTAGATTTAAGACGGAGAGAAGTAACCGTTCCTAGAGATATATTTATTAGATGGTTACTTTCTCTAGTTAGAGTTAGGACGGAGAGAAGTAACCTTTCCTAGGAAGATATTTATTAGATAGTTACTTTCTTTATTTAGAGTTAGGACGGAGAGAAGTAACCTTTCCTAGAGAGATATTTATTAGATATTTACTTTCTTTATTTAGAGTTAGGACGGAGAGATATTTCCTAGAGAGATATTTATTAGATAGTTACTTTCTCTAGTTAGAGTTAGGACGGAGAGATATTTATTTGATAGTTACTTTCTCTAGTTAGAGTTAGGACGGAGAGAAGTAAACTTTCCTAGAGAGATATTTATTAGTTAGTTAATTTCTCTAGTTAGAGTTAGGACGGAGAGAATTTTATAAGATAGTTACTTAATCTCTAGCTAGAGTGAGGACGGAGAAAAGTAACTGTTCCTAGAGAGATATTTATTAGATAGTTACTTGATCTCTAGTTAGAGTTAGGACGGAGAGAAGTAACCGTTCCTAGAGAGATATTTATTAGATATTTACTTTCTTTATTTAGAGTTAGGACGGAGAGAAGTAACCTTTCCTAGAGAGATATTTATTAGATAGTTACTTAATCTCTAGTTAGAGTTAGGACGGAGAGAAGTAACCGTTCCTAGAGAGATATTTATTAGAAAGATGTTTCTAGAAAATTAAGAAAATTAAACTACACCGGTAATAACATTTATGAATTTAAACCCTTTTGTTCTCTGACGTGGTGAAACTGAGAGGTTTTGTCAACCCAGCAATTTTCTTGTCAACCTTTTAATATTTAATCCAGGCATGTAAAATCTAAAATCTTTGAAAATTATGTACAACTGAGCCCAAAACTTAAGACAGGGTATCGTTGTGAAAACCAGTATTGGAACCCGGGTTTCACGAATAGGGTTTGGCAGTTTTTTGTATATCAATATTTTTGTTATGAAATATTATTTTAGTTAGTTTCTTCGTATTCTCCATTTTTTCAAATCTCTTAAATCAAAATCTACCAAATGTTTTGACCCAAAAAAGGAAACTCGAGAGTTTCGTTCAACGATTCTCTTTAAAATTTCAGGATCAATTTTGTGCATCAGTACATTGTACAGAGTACATATGGATTTAGACTATACTAGGAGAACAGTTGGATTAATTCTCAAGATTCATGGGTCGACTTTAACAGAGTGCAGTACACTGTACAGTGTGTAGTACATAGTACAAAGTCTAGTACACTGTAGAAAATCCATTTTATTTTACAGAGTGCATTACACTGTAAAGCGTGTAGTCATTGTACAGAGTCTTGTACACTGTAGAACGTCCATTTTATTTTACAGAGTGCAGTATACTGTACAGCGTGTAGTACATGGTACAGAGTCTAGTACACTGTAGAAAGTCCATTTTATTTTACAGAGTTTAAAGAGTGCAGAACGCTGTACAGCGTTTAGAACACTGTACAGAGTCTTGTACACTGTACAGGGTGCTGTACACTTTACAGAGTGTAGTACACTGTACAGAGTTCAGTACACTGTACAGAGTTCAGTACACTGTACAGAGAGTATTACACTGTACAGAGTGAAGTACACTGTACAGAGTGCAGTATACTGTACAGGGTGCTGTACACTTTACAGAGTGTAGTACACTGCACAGAGTTAAGAACACTGTACAGAGAGTATTACACTGTACAGAGTTCAGTACACTGTACAGAGAGTATTGCACAGTACAGAGAGTATTGCACAGTACAGAGTGCAGTACACTGAACAAAGTGCAGTAAACTGAGAGTACAGTACACTGTACAGAGTGCAGTACACTGAACAGAGGTCAGTACACTGTACAGAGTTCAGTACACTGTACAGAGAGTATTGCACAGTACAGAGTGCAGTACACTGAACAAAGTGCAGTAAACTGAGAGTGCAGTACACTTTACAGAATGCAGTACACTAAACAGAGTGCACTATAATGAACAAAAAAATCTTTTTGTTTTTTTAAATTTCGAGGGTTGAGATCCTATTTCCTTTTTCTTAAGTTTTGCATATTGAATAAGAACACAGGAGATATTCTTGAAATAAAATAGAATCTCAAAAATAATAAAATTGGAAAATAAACCCAAAGAGAAGGTTAAGAAACAAAAACAAAAACGACAAAAGTCACCCATTTGCCCGTTTTTAACATTTTTCCGCAATATACTATTCATGTGTATATATGGAAAATATGACAACATAAATTGATTCAATCAGTGCTATGAAAACGTTGAATGTAAAGAGAAATAGAAATATTAGAATAATAATTAGACAATGAAAAGATGCAACAAAAAAATGCCCCAAAATAAAATCATTGAACATTCCCCCCATTTTTGTGCAGTTTTTTCCCAGAACTTTAGCGTGGAATAGTTTTTATTGGACATAAAAAGTTTTAAATCTAGGTGAAAACAAGGATACTGGGAATATTATGTGTTTTTATATAAAGGAACAGGTTGCGATAAGAGCTACACTATTATATTCATAAAGGTATCCCTTTATACTTTGTAAGTCTCAACCACAAACCTTTAATATTGTAAATAGGTCTTGGAGTAAAGTGTTGATTATTCTTGTTTTTAGAATATTGTGAAAATCAAAACTGTTTTATGGACCCTCATTTGTTTTAATGTTGAACACAGATTACTTTTTTATTTATTTTAAAATGAACATGACTTTTTTATCATAATATAGATTTTATCAAATACACATATACTAGGCTTTTAGGGCGCTTCGCGCTCATCTTCTATTTAAATTGTGAACATGTTCTTTTTGTTTACATTTTAAAACAAAGAAGAAAAAATTTTGCGGATTTTCAAGAATTTAATTTTTTTTACAAAATTAAAAACCTATAACACATTTTTTTTTTAATTTTTATCATTTATAAACCTTTCCTGTGGGCACGTGATGTCTCACTAAAAATTTGGGCCCGATCGGTTCAGCCGTATTGACGTTTATTGGATACAAACAAACAAACAAACAAACAGACAGACAAACAAACACCCAGACAAGCTAAATTTATATATAGATCAGGACGTAACGTCTGAACCGGTCGGGCCCAATTTTTCGAGGTACTCTATGGATAAACGGCCGCTTAAATATAAAAGATGATACTCCAAAAACCGTCAAATTTCTAAATTTTGAAAAAGGCCCAAAAAATCTACAAAATAAAGATTAATGTTATTTTCTTTTAACCGGTAGCAGGTGAAGCAACATTTAAGAGATAGTCTTAGAAGAAATCCAACTGTTTTGTCCCGTTAATCCTTTAAACTGGAGCTAAAACCAAGCGCGTTGAAACAAGGAGTTGGCTAGACTATGTAATAGATAAATGCCTGCATTTAATCTTGTTGTGACGTAATTCTCAAGTAATACTTTTTTCTCGGTTCGTATCATATAAGTATATATATATATCATAAGGAAAAAACAATTATTTAAAAACTTTTCTTCATTCAAAGCCTTGAAAATCTAACCCTGACAAAATACTTTTAATAATATATATATTTATATTTCAGTTTTTAAACTCCACATTTTATTAAAAAAGAATTATACTAAACCTAATGTTTCCCATCTCATGACGATCCTCAGTATACAAAATTCTTATATATATATATGTATATTTGGTTTCAAGTCTGGGCCAACCACAAAAGGGTAAAAACTTGGTTCTTGCCGACAAATAAAAGTTTTAATTTCCAAAATAAACTTTTTAAAAACTTTTTTCTTTTCGATATTGAAGATCTGTGAAAAGAGGAGATTTATTTTGAGAACTTATAGATTGCACATCTTGGCGTAAAACTTGTTTAAAACTTGTGAAAAGTTAATCTCATTTTTAGAAACAAAACTGGGGGAAAGAAAAGAAGGGGTAAGAGCCATTTTCACCTTAAAAACCACTCATTTGGGTCTAGTTTGGAAAAAGAAAAAATTGTAATATTGCACTGTAAAAAGCTGTCAATATTCACGATGCTTGACAACACCAAATAAATCCGGGATGAACGCCGGCGATTTGAAAAAGATTTTTGCAAAAAGTAAAAAAGGGGAGTTTTAATTAAGCTATACTTAAATTATTATTCGATAGGCAACTTTTTTCTGTATAATTTTTGCTTTACACCAAGCTACCAAATGTGGCTTTGTTCTTCTTGTAAAAACTTATTTTAAAACCAAATATTTTTTTGCAAACTACTAATTTTAAAGATAAACAAGATCTCTTTAAATTGACTTGGACAATTTTTTACGACCTTTTATTGCCATTTATTAAAAGTTGCGTTAACTGCTTTAAACATTAATTATTTCTACCTGCTGCTGGTTCTCTCGCTGTGTGGTCAGCCTTGCTTCGATACACTGCCTTGTTTCCATAAATGCTTGCCTTTTAGCAACCTCGCTAGGGTAGTGGGTCAACACACCCGCTAGGTTAGTACACAGGAACAGCATAGTGTTCCCACCCATCTACAATATATAGATTAGTACACAGGAACAGTATAGTGTTCCCACCAATCTACAATATATACATATTTAGATTGTTTAGTGTAAACACAAATGTTTAGAATTTTGCGGATTTCTGCATTGGTTTCCTAGGAGAGAGGCATGATCTAAAATCTATTGTATTGCAGGAAGTAATTGCAAATATTGGGAGAATCAAGTCATGATTCTGAACTGGTGAAAAGAGAGGGNAACTGTAGAATTATCTTCCAAAATTATCTTGTTTATATATACAACTGTAGAATTATCTTCCAAAATTATCTTGTTTATATATACAACTGTAGAATTATCTTCCAAAATTATCTTGTTTATATATACAACTGTAGAATTATCTTCCAAAATTATCTTGTTTATATATACAACTGTAGAATTATCTTCCAAAATTATCTTGTTTATATATACAACTGTAGAATTATCTTCCAAAATTATCTTGTTTATATATACAACTGTAGAATTATCTTCCAAAATTATCTTGTTTATATATACAACTGTAGAATTATCTTCCAAAATTATCTTGTTTATATATACAACTGTAGAATTATCTCCAAAATTATCTTGGTTATATATACAACTGTGAAATATCTCCCAAATAACCATGGTTATATATACAACTGTAGAATTATCTTCAAAATTATCTTGGTTATATGTACAACTGTAGAATTATCTCCCGAATTATCCTGGGTTATATACAACTGGAGAATTATCTTAGTTATATACACAACTGGAGAGTTATCTCCCAAATAATCTTGGCAATATATAAAACTTTAGAATTATCTCCCAAATTATCTTAGCTATATACGCAACTGGAGAGTTATCTCCCAAATTATCTAGGCTATAAATAAAACTGTAGAATTATCTCCCAAATTATCTTAGCTATATACTCAACTGGAGAGTTATCTCCCAAATTATCTTGGTTATATATAAAACTGTAGAGATATCTCCCAAATTATCTTGAGTTTGTAATATGATCCTTTCACTCATTGGATTTTCTCTTTTTCTTAACTTAACAACAACCACCAGCCAATGCTGCAGTGTAAATACTGAATTTCTTTTAAACCTTTAGTTTTTACTCATTTCTAATATGTCCCCTGTAGTCTATACGCTATCTATAGTCTATAAGTTCTCTGAAATCTATAAGTCTCTTGTAGTCTATAAGCCCCTTTTAGTTTCTAAGTCTCCTGTAGTCTAATAGTCCCCTGAAGTCTCGAAGTTTCCTGTAGTCTCTTAGTCCCCTGTATTGCATAAGTCTCCTGTAGTTATATTCCACTGTATTCTCTAAGTCCCTTGTAGTCTATAAGTCCCTTGTAGTTTCTAAGTCTCCTTTAGGCTATAAGTCCCCTGTAGTCTTTAAGTCCCCTGTAGTCTATAAGTCCCCTGTAGTCTATAAGCCTCCTGTAGTCGGTAAGTCCCCTTTAGTCTCTAAGTCCCCTGTAGTCTATAAGTCCCCTGTAGTCTATAAGTCCCCTGTAGTCTATAAGCCTCCTGTAGTCGGTAAGTCCCCTGTAGTCTATAAGACCCCTGTATTGCATAAGTTTCCTGTAGTCTGTAAGTCACCTGTTTAAGCAGGAAAGGATCAGTATAGTTTAATCCAGCAGCGCAAGCAATCTAAACAAAATTTAAATAATTTTGCATTCAGTTTAAAAAGTTAAACTATTAGAATTAATCTAAATTTTACACTGAAGGCTTAAAGTTCATTTTACCTAAAGAATCTGGAATTAATCTGTGATGAAGTAAACCTGAAAAAAATTATTGAACCCGAACCTGAGAAAACCATATGCAAAGTCCCGAACCTGAACTTGAGAATACCATAATAAAAGTCCCGAACCTGAACTTGAGAAAACCATAAGAAAAGTCCCGAACCTGAACTTGAGTAAACAATATGAAAAGTACCGAACCTGAACTTGAGTAAACCATAGGAGAAGATTTAAAACTCTATTAGAAAATCTTAAGCTGCACCTCAGTAAACTCAATAATTCCTGAAATCGTACCTGAGTAAACCCAAGAAATCCTGAACCTCAACCTGAGTAAAACCTAGGAGAAGTCGTGAAACCGTACCTGATTAAACCCTAGGAGAAGTCCAGAACCCCAACTTGAGAAAACCCTAGAAGAAGTCCCGAACCTCAATCTGAGAAAACTCTAGGAGAAGTCCTAAACCTGTACCTGAGTAAACCCAAGGAGAAGTCCTGAAACTATACCTGAGTAAACCCTAGGAAAAGTACTGAACCTGTACCTGGGTAAACCCTAGGAGAAGTCCTGAACCTGTACCCGAGTAAACCCAAGGAGAAGTCCCGAAACTGTACCTGAGTAAACCCTAGGAGAAGTCCTAAACCTGTACCTGAGTAAACCCAAGGAGAAGTCCTGAAACTGTACCTGAGTAAACCCTAGGAAAGTACTGAACCTGTACCTGGGTAAACCCTAGGAGAAGTCCTGAACCTGTACCCGAGTAAACCCTAGGAGAAGTCCTGTACCTGAGTAAACCCTAGGAGAAGTCCTGTACCTGAGTAAACCCTAGAAGAAGTCCCGAACCTAAACCTAAGTAAATCCTAGGAGAAGTCCTGAAACCGTACCTGAGTAAACCCTAGGAGAAGTCCTGAAACCGTACCTGAGTGAACCTTAGGTGAAGTCCTAAAACCGTACCTGAGTAAACCCTAGGAGAAGTCCTGAAACTGTACCTGAGTAAACCCTAGGAGAAGTCCTGAAACTGTACCTGAGTAAACCCTAGGAGAAGTCCTGAAACCGTACCTGAGTAAACCCTAGGAGAAGTCCTGAAACTGTACACTCCTCGACATGTAGAGCAAGGAGAGTATAGGTCATGTAGATAAAGAACATTGTACACCACACTCCTGCATTGGCTGATCTAGGATCAGCGTCTAGTACTATCAACACCTAAATAAAAATATTTCTTATAATTCGACAACATTTTTACTTTTTGCCACAAAATCTGATTTTTAATACCTTTTTCTCTGCAACTCGACGTCGTAGACCTTTGATATTTCAAACTATGAATTCTGACAGATCAAATATTCAAAGTTTGAAATATCAAAGGTTTGCTCCATCCGGTTGCCATGACTTTGTGGCCAAAACTCAATTCATTTTCACCAAAACATTATTTTAAATCCATTTCATTCTTTTGGGGAATTTCTAACGTAAGGCATTGGGTCACCAATCCTTTTAAATTATTTATTTAATGCGAAACTTTTTGCACAAGTATACAGAAATCATTTATTGTTTTAACAATGTCTCTCCACATTGTTCTTTTCTACTTGTGTATACATATATATATATAATATATAATATACATTATATATGTACAGTGTTACCTCCAAAGGGTGAGTTAATAATGACGAAATAAAACTGTCAGTAACTTATAAAAATTTATTAATTAAGCTCAAATTTTTTATCCTTATATCCATGCAACCTTATGGTGTAAACTTTTTATATTTTAAAATTTGAATCAACGGAATTCATAGTTTGAAATATCAAAGGTCTACGACATCGAGTTGCAAAGATAAAGAGGCTAGAGAATCAGAGTTTGTGGCAAGAACTCTGTTCCTGTTTTATCTCAAGAGGAATATGTTAAGCAACATTAAAAGAATTGAGTCTTTACTGCACAAACTCTGATTTTCTAATCCCTATATCTTTGCAACCCAATGTCGTTGACCTTAGATATTTATGACAAGAAATTATGCTAGATCAAACAACATAAGTTTTAAATTTCAAAGCTTTACACCATCAGGATACAAAGATGAAAGGACTAGAAAATCGGAGTTTGTGGCAAAGACTCAATTCCTTTCCGCACTTTGTTAAAGGGGGTAAAAGTATGTAATATATATATATATATTTATATATATGTACAAAGATATGTAGTGAAATACACTGAAATATTTGAAAATCCAGAAAAACATGGTTTATAAAACAAAGGATAAAATTACACTCGAGCAAGTTAAACCCTTGGTCAATTGAACCTTTGATCTTGATATCATAGTAAATCAAATTTTCCTTGTTAGACCGAACCAAGATCAAAAAAGGAAATCTATTGCATTTAAAGGGATCGAACCCAAGATCTTAAATAAGAAATTTATTGCATTTAAAGGGATCGAACCCGAGATCTAAATAGGAAATCTAATTCATTTAAAGTGACCGAACCCAAGATCTAAATAGGAAATCTATTGCATTTAAAGGGACCTAACCCAAGATTTAAATAGGAAATCTATTTCATTTAAAGGGACCGAACCCAAGATCTAAATATAGGAAATCTAATTCATTTAAAGGGACAGATGACGTATTTAAAACGTTTTCCCCTTCGATTTCCAAATCGAGGGTTCTCTTTAAAAGTGACTTGTGTATTTATGCAGAGCCGGCGATTTAAAAAAATTAAGAAAAAATGACTCAGGTCTAAGCTGTCGTTGGGCCTTATTTATGGCTTGAGCTTTCGGATTCAAGCTGCATCTTATTTCCACATAGCTGAGTTCAAAAAACCGGTTTAATATTCTATTTGGCGGATTTTCATGGAAGGAATTGGCGCATTCCGGGTTTTTATGAGAACAAGAGTCAACATCGAGCCTTATTCTCCACTAAAACCAACCAAGGTCGGTTTTATTTTCATTGGGCCTAACTCTTAAGTCGAGCCGAAGATCTTGCAGCCAGTAGAAGCAAGAAGAAAATTGTCAGAACTTAAAACTAATAAACCACAATATCTTCCGATAAAGAGCGCCACTAAGAATCGTTCATGCAACTCTTTAAATGGGGGGGGGGGTCACTTGAAATTAAGAAAATAAATAATTTGCTCTACATTCACCTAATTAACTAATAGAGTAAAGGAAGAATGCAAAAAAGTTCAAAATAAAAAAAATGGTGAACTTTTAATTAAAAATTAATATCTATAAAAAGAAAAAAACAGCTCATTTGAATGCCATTTTTCTACTCAATTTATGTTGTTTTAATCTAAAAAGTAAAATATAGTCTGTAGATTAAGGAATTCAGTATTTGCGGGGGCGTACGAGATTGATACGAAAAAATATTGATACCTTTTTCAACTAGGTAAACTATTCCATCATATACATGAATTATTTATGTAATCAGACACTTCCTCTTAATATTAAGGTGTAAGCTTCAATGGGTGAAAAATAGAGATGGAAACGTTACTTTAAAAATATCTATATTTTCATAGAAACGATACATATTGTATAATTATAAATAATGATATCAAAGATGGCAGTTATGATTAAAGCTTTTTTAATGAAACTTTTTAGTTAAGGGCAAAAGTAAGATTTTAAAGTATTTTTTATGTGGGAACCCCCCCTCGTACGCCCCTGAGTATTTGCCACAAACTCTGATTTTCTAATCCCTATATCTTTGCAACCCAATGTCATAGACCTAAGAAATTTCAAACTATAAATTCTGTAAATTCAAATAATCTAAGTTCAAAATATCAAAAAACTCAATTTCTTTGCGTGTAAGTTTGAGATGCTTTGTTCGTTTCTGCAGCAATTCCTTGGAAATAAACCTTTGTGTTGGCAGCAAGTATAATAGATAAAATGTGCAAACTATTAACCGTTAAAATGAAATTTAAAGCTGGCTTGCTTCAAAATGAATAGTTAATCATGAATTTTATATTCTGAGGGAAACTGTCGAATTTAAAATAAAAAGAAGAGTAAAAATGTAAAAATGCATTTTCAAACTGCATTAACCGCAGTGTTTATATTTTTATATATATATATTGTCAAGTGTTGTCTAAATACTGCAGCAAAATGTTCATCAAAATGTTGTAAAAGATATAATTATATCCGGCTTTCAGACTTACACATTTAATTGTTTATCAATATCAGAAAGAAATGTAAAATTATGAAATATACAAATCTATTTTTGAATTATTTTGTAGATGTAAGTTCAAGTTACCCTTCATTAAAAGATTGTGAAGTAAGATTCACATTATGGAGATATTGTCATTTTTCTGTGTTTAATTCTGTGTTTAATTCTGTAAGTTGTCTTCATTGTCTCCGCTAATCACATTTACAGGTAAAAATAATTACCTTTATATAAAAAATAAGAATATATAATTTATTCTTTGAAGCGAACATTACAGAGATTCAGCCTGCTTATAAAAATTTCCTACATTTTTATGACAGGGTCGACTTTGAAGTGTCGCACTCATGCTTTTCTGTAGCCCTGATTTTTTTAAGTAATTGGCAAAATTCTCATAGATTTTTGCTTGAGAGCTTGAGACCTTTTAATCACAGTGAACTTATCACAATACTTGTGTTTTGAACATTAAGAAACTAGAAACAAAGATTTAAAATAAACTCTGTTTTTAACACAAAGAAAATATTTCTCCGCCATTGAACCTTGTTTTGATAAATCCCATTGGTTAAACACCCTGGAGCAGAGTTAACTTAGTGTTTGTTTTAAGTTTACCCAGGGTGTTGAGTGTAAATCAGTCCTGGGAGAATTCTTTATCATGGTTCCTAGACTTCATCCTTCATCCTTCATTCTTTATATGAACATCAAGATTTCATCCTTTATCTTCATTCTTTATATGTACTTCAAGATTTAACCCTTCATCTTTTATTCTTTATATGTACATCAAGATTTAATCCTTCATCCTTCATTCTTTATATGAACATCAAGATTTCATCCTTCATCCTTCATTCTTTATATGTACTTCAAGATTGTATCCTTCATCCTTCATTCTTTATATGTACATCAAGATTTCATCCTTCATCCTTCATTCTTTATATGTACATCAAGATTTCATCCTTCATTCTTTATATGAACATCAAGATTTAACCCTTCATCCTTCATTTTTCATCCATCATCCTTCATCCTTAATCCTTTATCCTTAATCCTTTATCCTCAATCCTTAATCCTTTATCCTTTATCCTTTATCCTTAATCCTTTATCCTTAATCCTTTATCATTTATCCTCAATCCTTTATCCTTTATCCTTAATCCTTTATCCTTTATCCTTTATCCTTAATCCTTTATCCTTAATCCTTTATCCTTTATCCTTTATCCTTTATCCTTAATCCTTTATCCTTTATCCTTTATCCTTAATCCTTAATCCTTTATCCATCATCCTTCATCCTTCATTCTTTATCCTAAATCCTTTATCCATCATCTTTTATCCATCATCTTTAATCCTTCATCTTTTATCCATCATCTTTTATCCTTTATTCTTTATCCTTTTTCTTTTGATCCTTTATCCACTATACTTAGTATTGTATCCATTTTCCTTTATTATTTATCCTACATACCCTTTATCCTTTATCCCGTATCCATAATCCTTCATTCTTTATCCTAAATCCTTTATCCATTATCTTTTATCCATCATCTTTAATCCTTCATCTTTTATCCATCATCTTTTATCCTTTATCCTTTATCCTTTGTCCTTAATCCTTTATCCACTATACTTAATATTGTATCCATTTTCCTTTATTATTTATCCTAAATCCTTTTTCCATAATTTTTATCCTTTATCCTTCATCCTTTCTCCTTAACCCTATCCCTGCTGGGGTACTTGAAAACCAGGATACGCTAAGGGGGGGGGGCAATTTGGCCCCCCCCCTCTAAATCCCATATTTGATGTCCAAATAAGACAAATGATACATCATTGGAAAGCTCTTATGCTGTACTTTTAGAATCTGCAATAAAATTTGCAAATTTGCAAAAATAGAATTTTTTTTAGCAAAATCCAGTTCTATAGTAAAAATGTTAGCAAAAAAATATGTAAAAAAATGATAAAATATACATTTTTGAAAAGCCCTCGACCATGCCATTTCAAATATGCCAAAAAAAATGTGCAAGGTTGTAGAGTGATAAAGTAACTTTATCACCCTACAACCTACAAAGCGGGAAATACTAGGTATGAAATTCAAAATTTTAAAAGCAGAGTGATTAAGTTACTTTTTCGCCCTGTTGCAGGGCGATAAAGTCTCTTAATCATCCTACAAACGGAAATATTAGGTGTGATAAATTCCCTCAAAATTGAAAAAAATATGATTACCTCTATCCCGAAGAAGGATGCTAGGAGTATATATGAGAATATGATGAGATAAACCTCATTCAAAAAGCTTCTGAACATCAAGATCACTAGGATCAAGTACATGATGGAGAACACCCCCAAAGTCACACCCTAGAATATCATTTTCATTAAGGAGCTCTTCACGAGAAGCTGGTTCAGGATTAAACTGTTTTAATTATTATCAAATTTTTCATTTTTGAAAATTTAAGAATAATCGAAAGTGCAAAAGATCTCTGCTACGCCTGAAAAGCAGGACAAACAGAAATTTGTTCATTATAGTTTTAAAAAAATCACAATGAACATAATACCGGACTTCTTTAGATATTAGCGAGCAATCCCTTTATAAAGAAAAGATTAAACCAGGTTTATTCAGAAATATAAAAAATCTACTTTTTGCTTTTTAGAAAATACAGTTTCTCAGAAAATTAATACCGTATGAAACCTAGACATGAAATATTTAAGAAAATTAAACTCCAGATCGGAAACATTTTTTCTAAATATTATAATCTTATTTTTTGTAAATATTATAATCTTATTTTTCTAAATATTATAATCTTATTTTTCTAAATATTATAATCTTATTTTTCTAAATATTATAATCTTATTTTTCTAAATATTATAATCTTATTTTTCTAAATATTATAATCTTATTTTTCTAAATATTATAATCTTATTTTTCTAAATATTATAATCTTATTTTTCTAAATATTATAATCTTATTTTTCTAAATATTATAATCTTATTTTTCTAAATATTATAATCTTATTTTTCTAAATATTATAATCTTATTTTTCTAAATATTATAATCTTATTTTTCTAAAATCAATCAAGCGGATGTATTTAAAGAGAATAGTTTGAATACATCCTTTTTAAGTGAATAACTCAAAAACTGTTTATTTGTACTTTGTATACTTTTTTGATTAAACGAAACTTTTAGTTTTAAATATCAAAGGTGCAAATACATCTGGTTTCAACGGTTATAAATCGTCTTACTATTCCAGAGTTTTCTGGTCATCACTGTAATAAGAAATAAATAGTGATTTCACAATTACCGGAGATATAGTGAGTTTGTTGTATGTAGTTTGGTTTACAAAATATACAAAGAGAACATGTTCACGATTAAAGCCTAGTAACCATAAACTCCGCTTATAGTTAGGAATATGACTATATTTACCTGCATAATTGAATCTGCTGACGAGACAGCGTAGTTGACAACTATGAGAGTGAGGGAGATGAGGACGAGGAGGATGAGGAGGGAGGTCATGTTGTTCTGATTCATCCTCAGGAAATATCGTTGATATAGCACCTCAACATGCACGTTCTACATCCTTCATCCTTCATTCTTTATATGTACATCAAGATTTCATCCTTCATCCTTCATTCTTTATATGAACATCATTAAAGGGACCAAACCCAAGATTTAAATAGGAAATCTATTGCATTTAAAGGGACCAAACCCAAGATCTAAATAGGAAATCTATTTCATTTAAAGGGACCGAACCCAAGATCTAAATATAGGAAATCTAATTCATTTAAAGGGACAGATGACATGTTTCTTGATTTTTCTAGGAAATTTCTAGATTTATCCGAATGTATTCTGTAGACGATATCTCCTAATCTAACCTTGAATCTGTGAGATCTGAAAACCCTCTTGAACAGAGCCCAGAGATTCCACCATTTATGGGTTGGTTCAAGGAGAATACTCTCAACCTCATCCTCTTCATCAGGATCAGGATCTCCATCAATAACCTGATACAGAGAGGCGGTCATACTTGTCTTTAACCAATTAAAATGATCGAGCCGATTAATCAATCGAATCTAATAAACTGGACAATGATTAAAATTGATCAAATCAATTAAATTGATGAAATTGAGAGCATCGATTAAATTGATTAAACCAATTAAACTGATCAAATAGATCAAACTTATCGACTCTAACAAACCATTATAATCTATCAAAGCCAATCCAACCGATCAAATCGAATAACTAATCAAACCAATAGTTTGATCAATCAATTGGACTACAAAATTAGTCAAGCCGAAAAAAACAATCAAATTGATTAATTTGATCAAATCTATCTAATCGATAAAACCAATCATTATCAAATTGATCAGACTAAATTTTATACTGATAATTCTGATAAAAGCCAATTCAAACAATCAAACAACTCAATCTGACGAAACCGATTAAGCTAAAAAAATTAATAAAATTGATCAAACTGATCAATTTCGTTAAAGTTATCAAATTGATCGTATTGATCAAACCAATCTAATTTTTATCAAATTGATGAATTCTGTCTAATTGATAAAACTAATCTTATCAATAATACGGATAAATCAATCAAACCTATTAAATCAATCAAACCTATTAAATCAATCAAACCTATTAAATCAATCAAACCTATTTAATCAATCAAACCTATTAAATCAATCAAACCTATTTAATCGATCAAACTAATCTTATAAATCAAACCTATTAAATCAATCAAACCTATTTAATCAATCAAATCTATTAAATCAATCAAACCTATTAAATCAATCAAATATATTAAATCAATCAATTCTATTAAATCAAAATCAAGCCTATTAAATCAATCAAACCTATTAAATCAATCGAACCTATTAAATCAATCAAACCTATTAAATCAATCAAACCTATTTAATCGATCAAACCTATTAAATCAAGCAAACCTATTAAATCAATCAAACCTATTAAATCAATCAAATCTATTAAATCAATCAAACCTATTATATCAATCAAACCTATTAAATCGATCAAACCTATTAAATCAATCAAACCTATTAAATCAATCAAACCTATTAAATCAATCAAACTTATTAAATCAATCAAACATATTAAACTGATAAGACTGATGAAACCAATCAACTAAGGTTTTTGGTGTAAACAGATGAAGAAATCGTACATTACATTTCATGTACATACGTTCACATCCTTTGAATGTACACAATCTTGTTCATGTACATACTCTATTTATGTACATATTCTATTTATATGCGTATACACACTATATTCATTTACATACTCTTTTTTTGTACACACCCTTTTCATGTACATACTCTACTTTATTCATGTACATACTTTATTTATGTACAAACTCTTTCCATGTACATAAAACACAATATTAAACTCAAATATCAGAGAAAATGTCGAAAGAAATCTATTAAATAAAAGTTTACTAACCCGTGTTTGGCTGGATGGTACTCCGGTGAGCCCTCCCTTCGGGTTGTAATGTTCTATTACTTCCCAGTTAGATTTCTTAACAACCTAAACATAATATATTCTTAACAAACATAATATAATTTACCTGATATTCCAGCTCTTGAACAAAACTATATGACACTAATGAATCCCTGATATTTACAGTGTAACCTTGAAACAGGGTCGCAATTTTAGATTGCAAACCTAGGGATGCAATCTAATTAATTGCGAATTTTTCTACCAAGAAGTTGCGGGTTTACAACTCTGAAAACATTAATTAGATTTGATTTCTGAACTCAAAAATATGTGTTACAAAACTAAAAAGATTTTACAGTTTTTAAAACCTAAAAAAGGTCGATTTTGAATCAAAATGTTTTTTAGTTAAGAAGTGGAAAAATCATAAAATTTGTTTTAAAGTTGAAAAAATAACATATCGGTCTTCATTCACGTGAGACAACAAGGATTATCCCTATATCTGAACAGAATATATATTTTATCTAGACAGAGCTGTAAACTTTAGAATGAGATATCCATTCCTTAATCCCAATTACTTAATCTGAGTATGGACAAACTTTAGATTCTTTCTTGGATATAGTAGAGAAAAATCAAAACCCGTTTTTTTTTTTAAATTTAGAGAGTCCCTCCCGTTTCTATATATAATCTTAAATGGCGCGCAAAATTTCAAATTTATCGGCTTCATTTATGCGACTCTGATTGGTTAAATTTTATACACTTTTCAGGATAAAAGTACAAGATTAAGTTTATCTCGATATTAAGAAAAAAGAGAGGATTAAACATTAATCTCAATATCCACCATTATAAAGTTTTCAGCTCAGGTATATTTAAATTGAACAGAATATATTTTATCTGAAAAGAATATACTTTATTTGAACTAAATATATTTTATATAAACAGAATATATTTTATTTTGAACAGAATATATTTTATCTGAACAGAATATATTTTATTTGAACAAAATATATTTTATCTGAACAGAATATATTTTATCTGAACAGAATACATACTTGAACTGAACAGGGCTTATATGTAGTATGTACGTAATTTCAAGAGATCTCAAACAACTGTCCGATTTACTAAGGTACCCTTTATCCAATCCATCATTATTCTTTCATTGATTATTTTCAATTGTGGTTTCATTACAGTGAGTAGCGCAATTCTGCTTTAAAAACAATTTAAGAAAATGTCAGAATTAAACAATTAATCACACACAATTGTAAATCATACATGACCCACTTTATTTAAATGGAAGATTGCTTGAAATTACGTCGCTAGTCCCTTTAAGCAGACAGGATAATCATAACACTCAACAAATGTTTTAAATGAATTATATTAAAATGAATTTAACTAAACCTTGAAGATGTTGAGATTTGAATTATTTGAAAACTTTTGACACTCGTCAGATTTCAGATTTAAAACAATAAATTTAAAGAGAAACTTATTAATGTTATATTTTACACTTTACAGGAAGTGTCTGAAAAAAAGGCCTTAAGACTTTGAAGCCTTCTAAACATCGTTGAATTGTGTATAAAAGTGATTAAAGCAGATAGAGGGGAAATTGTCGATGAAATGTTTTTTTCTAAAATGCCATTCTAAGCTTCAAAACTAGGACTAATATTCAAAACTAGGACTAATATTCAAAACTAGGACTAATATTCAAAACTAGGACTAATATTCAAAACTAGGACTAATATTCAAAACTAGGACTAATATTCAAAACTAGGACTAATATTCAAAACTAGGACTAATATTCAAAACTAGGACTAATATTCAAAACTAGGACTAATATTCAAAACTAGGACTAATATTCAAAACTAGGACTAATATTCAAAACTAGGACTAATATTCAAAACTAGGACTAATATTCAAAACTAGGACTAATATTCAAAACTAGGACTAATATTCAAAACTAGGACTAATATTCAAAACTAGGACTAATATTCAAAACTAGGACTAATATTCAAAACTAGGACTAATATTCAAAACTAGGACTAATATTCAAAACNGGTAAACCAGAGGTCTGAACAGTTCAGTGAGTCTGAACCTTAGAACAAATCTGAACCCATTAAACGTCGATTTGTGGGATTTGCTACTTAAACTTTTTTGTTGGACTATGTGTTTTAGATATTTATGTAATGAAGGTTTCTTACGCTATGTCTGAAAGATTTTGAATAATAGATCAAAATCTGACGGGAGCTAATCCGATACCGTTAGTTTGACGTGGGCCCGGTAGAGGATAGAATAGTTAGTTTGACGTGGGCCCGGTATAGAATAGAATAGTTAGTTTGACGTGGGCCGGTATAGAATAGAATAGTTAGTTTGACGTGGGCCCGGTATAGAATAGAATAGTTAGTTTGACGTGGGCCCGGTATAGAATAGGATAGTTAGTTTGACGTGGACACGGGCAACCGGAAAACTAAAGACTGATGGACATGGGCAACCAGAAAACTAAAGACTGATGGACACGGGCAACCGCAAAAACTAAAGACTGATGGACACGGGCAACCGGAAAATCTAAAGACTGAAAGGCTTGGGCCACATCGGATACTTCTGCTACAGTCGCATATATTAATACAATAAAGACGACTTTCGATTTAAATTTGGATTTTTTATTTATTTTGATTTTAAGCAGAATGGATACACGTAAATATTGAACATGGAAGCTATCAACTATCAAAATGCTTCTCTTTAATTTCCCGTAAACTTGTAAGTCGAAAAAAGCTTGTTAACAATCAAAACTTAGATAAAAAAGTCGTATTTACTATATTGATATAATCGCCAACTACTGTATTGAACTATAAAAGAACATTATAAAAAGGTTTATGAATTATAAAAATTAAAAAGTGTGTTTTAAAGGTTTTTAATTTTGTAAAAAAAAAAATTCTTGAAAATCCACGAATTTCTTTTTTTAACCGCAAAATTTTTTTCTTCTTTGTTTTAAAATGTAAACAAAAAGAACATGCTCACAATTTAAATAGAAGATGGGCGCGAAGCGCCCTAAAAGGCTTGTATATTTATATCTAAAAACTTAACCAACTCACCTTCAATTAAAGTGAAGGAATTGAGTCTTTGCCGCAAACTTAGATTTGAAACCGTATACATTAGATATTTCAAACTAAGAATTTAATTCAACTTAATAGCTAGTCTAAAAAACTGTGAATTTTATTCCAAATAAGTTTTGTTTTCTCATACGCAGGCGTAGAGTTGTTTTACAAAACGATCGTATTGTTTTAAGAAAAAAACGAACCACTTATTTTGAACTTTGAAAAACGATATTTTTTTAGAAAAAAATTTTCGCTAATAAATCTAAGTTTTATGACAGGTAATTTCTATTTTTTTTCAGGAAAATACGTTTTTGAATATTGTCTTAAATATTTCTTTGATCAAGAGATATAACCTGAATACTTTCGAAAGACCTAAATGTATTTTGTCTTAAAAAGGCCGTAATGATCGTCAAAACTTAAAAACGACAATCTTTCGTTAAACGAAAAGATCCTTTTCAAAAATGCGTAAACTATCCATCCCTATGTGGGCCTTAAATTATAACTAAATAACCTTTTTTATTTTTTATGTTTTTTAATCTTTATTTTCCTTTATTTCTCACCCTATTGCTTATGTTTACTTCTCATTAAATCTTTTATTATTATTGGAATTATTTCATTCATTTTTCATATCATTTACTCTTTTTTATTATCTCCCATTCGATGTTAAATTTTGTAAAAATATATATTTTTTAAAATAATTTAAATTGTTTTTATTTTTATTTTATTTTAAACATAAGAATTAAAATAGTATTTTCCTTATCTTCATAATTTTTTTTTGGTTTTAATCTTCTTTAGTGCAGTCAGAACCAGAAAACGGTGTAATAGGAAGACGACTTTTAGACTCAATTGTTATGAAAGTCCAACAATCATGAAATCCAGCAATGTGCAGTGTACTCAGACCCAGTTGATTTTTTAGCTACTTGAAGTAAAACTATCTGCTCAAAAACAACATCAAATACACATATAAGATTACTAAAATCAAGGTTGTAATGCAAGGAAAGTTATTTCAGAGGTGTACGCATCTTTTGTACTGCAATGTACTGTCTCTGGGCGGTAATGTAAGCAAAAGACGGATGTCGAAGCCAGACATGGGATCCATCTTTCACATAAAAAATCATTGAAATATTCTGGCCATAGGAAACTATTTTGTGAATTATCAAAATTCTTAAAATGTAATACGTTAAACCTCCTCGGATACTACACGAACACTAAATGCATCTATTCTTGTTTACAAATTCCGCCCAGAGAGAACTGGTTTCAATATATACGCAGAGTACACGCAACTGCAATGAACTTTCCTTGCATTATAACCTGGACTTAAATCTTCCAATTGACCCAAAGGCTTATGGGTCTCACTTTATAATTTCTGTTTAAATCCAAATTACTGTGACATAAAACGAAGTGAAATATTACCCAATTCAAAATATCTGTTTTCCAAGGAAAAGTTCTAATAATCCATTAAAAACAGATTTGAAATAAATCACAGTTTGAGATTTATACTTTCAGTTTTCTAAAAGGAAAAAGTATTTTTTTTCACGTCTAGCAATCGTTGATATATATATATATGAATACAAATTAATCTTCTTTCAGTCAGCAGATAGGTTTATTAATAATAGTATTTAATCCTTAAAAAGAAAAAGAAAAAAAATGAATGTGACAATATAGTTAATAATATCATATACACCGTACACTGTGATTTAAAGGTTGCAAGCTCTCAAGACAAAATCTATGATCATTTTGTTAATCACTAAAAAGCTAAAATGGAATGCTTTATAGTGCTAAAATGTTAAGGTAAAGGGCTACAGAAAAGCATAAGTGAGTTAGAGCGGCAAGATCAAAGCCCAAGGCGATGCGACACTTAAAAGTCGACCCTGTTTTACAAAATTTACTTTTTATAAGAAGACTGAATCTATGTGCCCGTTTTTGTCATAGATTGTCGTGAACTATGTCTATTAAATAAATGTTGCTGTAAACTTTTTATGAAAGAGGAGTATGTTCGATAAACTGTAAATTTTTCCATGATAAATAATGTTAAAGATATCATCGTTTATTTAGTGTGAAAAGTTTTAATTCAGGAAATATCCTTGATTGTCTTTGTAGCAGAAATGTGCAAGTCATTTTAAGAAAGAAAACAAAACTATAAAAATAATGAATTTTCAAAGAGAAGGTTATGGATATCTCATGCACTCTTAATCAGCCAAAGCGTGTAAGGATACCGTTATTTTGACACTCAAACAGTCCAAAAAATGAAGAGTCCCAATTGAAATCACAAGCACAGCCCCTTTAAACCATTTAAGCTATGTCAAATTTTGACACTGACAAATTATGAAGATATATGCAAAAAACGATGCAAAACGATGCAAAAAGGAACATCTCCAACGATCGTTTTTAAATCGGTTTTTTCAATTTTTTTTTTCAGGATGAAGATATCGCAAAGTTTAATAAAACTGTTTTTTAGGGATTCGCAACTCTACCCCTGGCCTTGTATACCTGTCCACCGTTCTCTGATATCTAATTCGCAACACTACCCCTGGCCCTGTATACCTGTCCACCGTTCTCTGATATCTGATTGGTTGATGATTTAGCACTTGAGTTCCGTAATGAATTCCTCATACTTGCAGATCTTTGGCAATCCTTCCGACTACCCACAGGAGACTAAAATAAAATATAGTTTAGAATCAAAAATGGAATTCAAGATGAAATTGCAAGCGCCATTGGCACGTCGCGATGAACTTAAGAGGGTGTAGTCAAATCAGCAGTTTAAAGATACTTTTATTCATTAAAAAGTTTCCATCTGTAATAACATTTAAAAATTATAATTCTGAAAATCCTTGAGTCCATACAGGATTTAATGAAAATATATTCATGGCACCTGAATTTAATAAAGGACCGAGGGAGTTTGTTTAAACAAGACTAAATATACAAAACAGTTTATTTAATTTTGAGATTAATTATTTTCCCGCACTTTTACTTGTGCAATTTCTAAATCCATGGGATAACAAGTTTCTCAATTGTTGCAAGGCTAGTAAGCAACATTTTGTCTCTGCAAAACCGGGTTTCTTGTAAATTTTTATGAATATTTTCTGCACATTTTCTGAAGTAACTAGAATATTTTATAGATAATGTTTAATAAATTTTAAACAAAATACATTCTAGGTGTTATTTAAGAATATATATATATTATGTTATTAGCCCCCTTATACAATGATTAGGGTCAAAGCATTTTTTCACGTATTTTTTTTCGGATCAAATTCAAGAAACTTAACCCCTAATTTCGTGAAGAAATAAAAAATTGAACTTTAACCTCAAATAAACAAAAATAAGTAAAAAAAAATAACAACACAAGGCTGTTGCATTAAAATATACTACACTTTATCACCTTGTTTTAATATTGTCAGAGCTCTAATCCCGGGAATAATTTAAGACTGGCAGAAAAAAGAAAACACACCCGGTTTGAAGAATAAAAAATAATCACTCGGGATTTTGAAATGGCTTTTTTTATTTGTTTAGGATAAATTTAATCAAAATGGAATTGTTTGCAGATATTTTCGCATTATATATCTATTTATATACTTTGCTTGACTCTCTGTGTGTTTGTTTGCTTGTTTGTATACAATAAGCATCAAAACGGCTGAATCGATCGGGTCCAAATTTTGTGTGGGACCTTGCATGTCCCCAGGGTAGGTTTATGGATGCTCAAATTATAAAAAGTTGTATAAAAAAGCTTTTGATTTTTGTAAAATTAAAAAAAATAGCCTTTTAGAGCGCCCATCTTCTTTTCAACTTTTAATTATGGCTTCATTCATCTGTGAGCAGTAAAAAACAAAATAAAAAAAGTTTGAGAATTTCATAATATTTTTTTTGCGGATTTTCAAAATTTTACAAAAAGAAAAACTTTTGAACACAAATTTTTAAAATTTTGATCATTCCTAAACCTTCCCTGGGGTCATCTAAGGTCCCACACAAAATGTGGGCCCGATCTGTTCAGTCGTTTTGACGTTTATTGGATACAAGCAGTCAGACACCCAAACAAACAAACAGACAGGCACCCAACCAGAAAAGTTAAGTTTATAAATAGATCCGCGAAAAAATATTTGAAAATCCACGATCTTTTTTTTGTTATTTTATACTGTACAAAGGAAAGATGCTCACAGATAGAGCCACACTAAGAAGTTAAAATAGAGAATGGGCACGAAGCGCCCTCAGACCCTAGTGTTATATATTTTTGTATAATGAATGAAATGATATGCTTTACAATATGAGCGGGGGAAGGCAGGCAATATACATAGGTATTGTTAACATAATTATACATATTACATAAAATGCGATAAACAGAAAAGTGATAATTTATGATATTTTCGCTATTTAAGGGACTGTATGTATATTTAAAGGAATGTATGTATATTTAAGGGACTGTATGTATATTTAAGGGACTGTATGTATGTATATTTAAGGGACTGTATGTATATTTAAGGGACTGTATGAATGTATATTTAAGGGACTGTATGTATATTTAAGGGACTGTATGTATGTATATTTAAGGGACTGTATGTATATTTAAGGGACTGTATGTAGACCGCAGATGTAATTACAAGTGATGTTTCATGAAGATTTCCTCTTGTAGGATATTATGATATTATTTCTATGTGATATTTGCACCCACCCTATATGTACTGTGTATACCAGGCGCGCAGCTATGGGGGGGCAAGGGGGCAAGGTCCCCTAGCCTGATTAAGGGGGGGCATATATATATATACATATTTGGAGAATTTGAAATAATGACTCTAGTAATGACGCATTAATGTCGAGCATTTTTTTTGCATGTAAAACTGACGCAATTCTCTACCAATTCTATAATACAACTTACATCCCACATGAACATTTAAAACACGTAAATAAGTAATGTACAGTGTACAGTGTACAGTGTACAACTAATTCTTACCGTACTTCAAGGTTTATTTAATGTTCTGTAAGTTTACAAATTTCAAAGGATAAAATTACAACCATGAATAATTCTCAGGAGGATAAACATCAAACGAAATTCTTTTATTATAAAAACTTGAAAAAAAGTATTCTCCAGGGTAGGAATGGTTTCTGCTCCCCCCCCCCCCCCTCATTGGACACATTTATACTTTTACGATAACCTATCCCCACTTGCACATGTTCGCCGTTAAAATTAGATTAAAATTAAAATTATTTTGATTTTACAACTTTGTATCACTAATATTACTTCAATCAGAAATTCTACAATGGAAAATTTTCTATTTTTAAATTTGCAAACTTGCTTTCTGTGCAATTTGCAGTCGTGTTGCAGTAATGATTTCATTTTCTAGTTTTCAAACTTAAAATTCAGAAGGAACGCAGTGCGGGGAAAAAACTTCTCAATAAAATTTTACCATGGGCAAAATTACGAAGAAGAACAATTTCCAATCAACAAAGAAAAAAATATATAATTTACAATATTCAAAATGGCTTCTTACAAAATGTGCAAATTCTAAAGTGGCAACTACCAAAATGTACGATTTCCAAAGTGGTAAATTACAAAATGTACAATTTCCCATCGGGGAAAGTTCTAAACAAACAAGTTGAAGGAATCCTTGCTTTTTTATTATCTGGTTAGATCTGGTTAGATCTGGATTTGAAAAAAACTGAAAATGTACTTTTTATACTGAAATGTAAACCTAGGAAAAAATAAAAATTTGTGAGAATAATGATCGATGATTTTAAACAAGTTTCATTGAATTAAATATAATATTCTAAATAACATTAATGTTTAGATCAAAGAAACAAGGTTCCTTGAGTTACATATATTCTAAATTACATTAAAGGGAGTGTTCGCGAAAAATAAGCGCTTTTGATCGCTACTAATCTTTCCTCTATCTCTTACGTCTATAAGAAGAAAATTGTCAAAAACCACTAATACCGAAGAACGTAGTGTCCATACAAATTCAGAAAGATGCAACATTCAACTCGGATCGTAAAATAATCAAGTTAATTCCAAAAAAATGATTCAGATATGAGAACCAACAGTCATGGATTATTTTTCGACGCATCCATATGTAGTTAATATTTCACAATATTTTTGATTTTGTTTTTAAAAAATATTTCGCTGGCGCTGGATTTTCAAACATTCCTGGATAATATGAAAATGTCGTCTTCATTATCAAAAACCCTCGAAACAGGAATAAATATTTCCAAAGTAACTATCAGATCATAGAAAATAAAAAAATATAATGAAATATGAACAATATACGAATGCGTCGAAAAATTATCGATGGATATTGGTTGTAAATAATGTAATATCTGAATTATTTGAAATTAAATTGATTTTTTTACGATCCGAGTTAAATGTTGCAACTTTCTGAATTTGTATGGACGCTACGTTCTTCAGCATAAGTCGTTTTTAACAATTTTTTCCTTATAGACGCAACAGACAGAAGTAAGATTAGTAGCGGTCAAAAGCGCTTATTTTTCGCCGTAAGCCTATACCCCCTTTCATTTTTTGCGAACACTCCCTATGGGGAGACCAAAGAAACAAGTTTTTCGATGGAAGTTTTTTTTCTTTGAAGTAAAAGGTAGTTTTGTATTTGAAAACATAACAAATTCTCCGAAAAGAATAGATAAATATATATGAATAATTGAATATAAAAAAAAAAACTATTTTATACAGGGTGACCCTTTTAATACAACAGTGTCTTTAAAGATCGTGTATACCTTATATCTGAAGACTACTGAATAGAAGAAAAAGTCTTTTTACCAATATGACAAATTTAAAATGTATTACTTATTTTATATATGAATGTTAATCCTCGGATTTATATCATAATAAACTATTTATTTATTTATTTATTCGTCGTTTTCTTAGAAATACTTGCGGCATTGATTCAAGAACCTACAATTTTCCCATTTGAAACACTAAAATAATAAACTATTTTTCTGCAAAAACGTTATCATTGCACAGACATCAGAGACGATCTTCAAGTCGCGTATATTCATTTTCATGTTTATTGTGGCACCATGTATTATTAAAGCCTACACTGACGAGAATCTTGTGTACTGTTGAATTAAATATGTTTACACGTGTTCAGTTGGATCAAGACAATGGATAGAATTAAGGAGAGGAGTTTAGGGTTTGTTACGATCACTACTATAACTACTAATAATTAGCCCGGTATTCGATCCTGAGCAGGATAGGAGAGCCGGGCCTTTGCAATCATTGTTTACTAAATGTTATTTCTTAACATATGTTTAAGATAAATGTAAACAAACCCTATCTCCCTCTCCTTAATTCTAATACTCCATGAATGTTGAGTTAATTAAAACCTGAATAGTATCCGTGGTGTTCTGTCTCCGGGGTTGTCTAAAACTAAATCTTTGTTTCCAGGGTTTGATCACATGTTGATCCGGATCTACTGATATTTCAAGATCTCGAGTAAAGTTTGTGGCATTTTCACTTGAACTTCTTTTCATCCCTGCCCCCCTGTGGATAGCCAGGGGGTCGGACCCATTTTCCCCTGGCCCCCCTGTCTTCACAACACCCTGGCCTCCCACTCCGCTTGTTTCCTGACGATTTATTTTTAAATCTTCCGTCCCATTTTTCTTGACACCCTGTTTAGAACAGTTCACACCGTTCTTCTCTACGGGTTTTGAGTCCAGGGTTGGAGCTCGGGATAGTTTAGGTTCTCCCTTAGGTTTCAAGGAGTTAAATTGCACAGTAGGAGACGGGTTTTGAGTTGGCGTTTCCGGAATTAGGTAGGAGCTGGTAGAAGGTTCTGATTGTGCCAAGGATCCACTCGGTGGATCAGACATCACACTTTTCTCCATTCTCTGTATTCAAGGTTTTTCTTCTTTAAGAATGACAAGAAACGAATTGAAATTTAAGATTAATGCTGGGGTGGACTGATCTACTCCTTCCTCTAATCTCTCAATTTTTCTCTGTTGGAGAGTATCGATAGTGAACGGAAATTAAAAGAAATTTATCCAACTTTTCCGATTAGAAGACATAATTTTGGGATTAGATTTTCTTTCCAGATTTCATGATCAAATAAAACTATAGTTTTTTTTAAACTGTTTTTTTTCTTATTTATAATTCACAGCTTTGTTATTCCTTCTTTTCAGAACATTCTACATAGTTTCTGAAAACCTCAAGTTTTTTAAAAACATTTAAATTATGTACGATGTTGATAAATAGTAAACCACCTCATTTTATATTCATAAAAACATCCTAATATTTTGAGTTAAACTTTTCTATAAAATCTTGTAAAAAAAACAGTTTTCTCCTTTATCCTATTTTAAATATTTAGAGGAACCAAGTAGAAACATTGTTGGTTATTGTACAAACTTATTTCTTTAATACACATTATCTAAGTTAAAGGGAAAGTTTTTAAAATAATTTTTCGGGGAAAATGATAATTTTTATTCAGCATAATGCAAATACTTAATTCAGTTGTTTTCAAATACTATAGTAAACGGGGGGGNGGGGGGAATTGTAATTTTTTTTACTTAACCAAAAATTCCAATAGGAATCCACATATCTTTGTTTAAAAAAGTGTAATGCAGTTTCTGGAAGGAAGAAAAACAAAACTTAGTTATGAGTATCATATAGTTGGTTTCCTACCAGAAACCGCAGTAAACTTTTTTTGTAAACCAAAGTTGGGGGTTCCAGGTTTATTTCCACCCTGATTCAACAATATAACTCCTACAGGGTACAAAAAAATACCTCTCCTAACCAAGAAACCAAGTTCAGGAGGAATTTCCGGATATTCTCTGTTTGTCTGTCTGTCTATTTGTTTGGAGGTTCGATCATAACACTTGAAGCCTTAGACCGATTTGCCTCAAATTTTAAATGAAGAACTCGGTAGAACCATGGAAGAACGTTCTTAGTATGGTGTAGAAGTTCTATGTTGAGTGGGTTTGCTTTTTTAAGGAAAACTTTAACTTAAACTTTGAGAGAAAACTGCATTCTGACGTCTTTTTCTAGGATTATCCATTATTTTGAAATAGTTGCACAAATGTCTAGTTTAGAAGATTTTCTTTTTTTCGTGGATTTTTAATGAAATATAAAAAAAAACTTTTAAAACACAGCCTTTGGAAGAACAGGTTTCAGGATATTTGATACACAATAAACAACAAAGTATAAGAAAGGTAAACAAAAGTCTGAATGTGTACTGCAGCTCAAAACTTTTATACAGGATAAAATACAATCTAGTTTTTAGACGATTAAAAAATCTCTTAAAAGGACTGTATGCGTAATTTCAAGTGATACTTTATGCAAAGAGGGCAGTGTCTGATTTACTTAATCTGATCAAAAAAGCGGTTTTTTATATGTGGTAATTCTGATAATTTCTCCGTTGTTTCTTACAAGCAAGAAATGCACAAGTCACTTCACAGACAAACTACACATTTAAATAAATAGTTTAATGAAACAAAAACATGGATATCTAATTCATACTTGATAAGACACCGCTTTTGTAAATCGGGCATTGACATCTTTTTTCATAGAGGGTCACTTAAAATTACGCTTACAGTCCCTTTAAATGATTTACAGATATTTACATCCCTTAATTACGAGGGAAATTAAAGAAAATTTAAATGCCTTTAAATTTTGGAATGACACTTTTTGTTCAACCTCTATTGAAAATGGCAAGAAATGGGTATTTAAAAAAAAACAATTTAAATTAGTAAAACGTAAATTGTTTTATTAGGAAGTTAGTTAAGCATGACATAGAATACTATAAAGGTAATATCAATATATTCAAAATAGTCATCTTTGTGAGTGTCTGTCTGTCTGTTAGTACGTCCGATCCTAACTCCTGAACCCCTTGATAGACCGTTTAACCTCAACATTATATTAGAACACTCGAAAGAACTAAGGGTATATATAAACTCTAATAGTATCAAGGTTTAGGATAAAGACTAGTAACTATTAGTATCAAGATCTAGGATACAGATATATAAACTCTAACTAGTAGAATCAAGATCTTGAATAGAAATATATAAACTCTACCTATAATAGTATCAAGATCTAGGATATAGACATATAAACTCTAACTAATAGTATCAAGATCTTGAATAGAAATATATAAACTCTACCTATAATAGTATCAAGATCTAGGATATAGACATATAAACTCTAACTAGTAGTATCAAAAGTATCAAGATACAGGATATAGATATATAAACTCTAACTAATAGTATCAAGATACAGGATATTGATATATAAACTCTAACTAGCAGTATCAAGATCTAAACTCTAACAAATATTGTGAAGTATAGTTTATATAGGGTTGGCACCTTCTCAAGGACTCTCAAGATAGATCTTAATTAACACCAGAAAACTACCATTGGCGAGACATTACACATGAGAGAGAAGGAAGTAGAATATGAAAATATGAAAGAAAGAGAATAGGGGAAAGTAGAAGGAGGAGAATAGGAGAAGGTAGAAGAATAGGAGAAGGAGGAAGGAAGGAAAGTAGGAGAAGGTAGAAGAATAGAAGAAGGTAGAAGGAAGGAGAATAGGAGAAGGTCGAAGAATAGGAGAAGGAGGAAGGAAGGAAAGCAGGAGAAGGTAGAATAATAGGAGAAGGTAGAAGGAAGGAGAATAGGAGAAGGTAGAAAGAAGGAGAATAGGAGAAGGTAGAAGAATAGGGGAAGGTAGAAGGAAGGAGAATAGGAGAAGGTAGAAGAATAGAAGAACGTGGAAGGAAGGAGAATAGGAGAAGGTAGATGAATAGGAGAAGGTAGAAGGAAGGAGAATAGGAGAAGGTAGAAGGAAGGAGAATAGGAGAAGGTAGAAGAAAGGAGAATGTATAATTGAAAACTTAAACATTTGAATTCTTGATTTTTTAACGCTAGAACACTTGAACATTTGAACACAAATAAACTCTTGAATATGAACATATAAACACTTGAACCTTTGAACACATGATTACTTAAACACTGCAATGCTTGAACACTTGAGGCCGAATCTAAAGAATTTGAGACGCCCTCAAATATGGTTGGTTCCACTCAAGATTATATTCAATTTTTTCAAGATTTAAGCCGGCGCTCAATTGAAACCGGTTCTTGGCGGATTTGAAACGCGGCACAAATTCATTAAATTCGGACACTGGACATTTAAACACTTGAACATTTAAACATTTGAACACTTAGAAACTTTAATATTTTAAAACTTGTCACTTGCCACTTGTCACTTGAACACTTTAACGATCGAAGATTTGAACACATAAAGACTCTAATACATCACTTGAACAAACCGATATATTTTATCAGCTAAACAAATCTGAACCGACTAAACTTTATCAAGGTGAAAAATGATTATTGAAAATTTGATAAGATAATTGGATTGACTCATTTGATATTCCAAAGTCTATTTTCGATAGATATATTTACTTAAATCGAAACAGGAAAAAATAATTTTAAAATTTCCGGAGAAATTCTAGGATTTTTTTATTTTTCACAATTATTAGGCGTTTAAATGTCTACTGTTTAGTTATGATTTGGCCCAATTTGTTTTGGCAACTCACGTGATCCAAATAAAGATTTTTGTATGGTTAAATATGAAATATTTTGCCCGCAAAAGAAATTGACATTTATAATTTTTGAAATGCGCAAATCTAAACAGAAAACTCTGCGAAATACGATTTAGACAGAAGAGCTGAAATAGTTGCGTGAAGCCGAGTATTTAATATGTTTATTGTTTATTTAACAAACTATGATTCTCCAGACTAGTTTATAAACTTGCACCAAAACATTGTGTTTCTCCATCACTCACAAATGGCCTAGTAAATACAGTAGAAAGCACTATGCTCGTGCAGGACGTCATTTTACAGTGGGAACCAGGCTTTAGAGTATCTTAAAGGGAACTCTGATAAACAAAAATCTTATTGGGAACCCTGACAAACATAATACTTGGGAAGACCCTGCTAAATTAAATCTGAAATAAATCCCTGCAAGATCTATGTTCAAAGCATATTTAAAAAAGTAGGTTTAAAATGCAATATCTTAAATGTATTATCAAATGAACGGCAATATATAGTGACATGTTCGATTCACAACAGGATCCTTTAAACTTTAGTTAGTTCGAGGATGAATGAGTTATTCTAATTTATCTCTCGGAAAATTGATTATTTTTGTTGCTGTTTCTCTTTAACACTGAATTCCTCATTGTGAAAGAATACCTTTGTGAATGAGGACATTCTACTCTTTTTTAATTACGTCTGCAGTCCCTTTAAATAACAACAAATAAAGTGTACAGTCCCTTTAAATAAAAACAAATGTAGTGTACAGTCCCTTTAAATAACAAGAAATATAGTGTACAGTCTCTTTAAATAACAAGAAATAAAGTGTACAGTCCCTTTAAATAACAAGAAATAAAGTGTACAGTCCCTTTAAATAACAAGAAATAAGACCCCTTTCAGTACAGTAGAACAGTTTTTGTATGCTGAAGTATCCTAAAAATATCAGTGTAAAGAGCTTTTAAGATCTAGATCTTAATAGCTTAATACAACTTTTCCCGTTTTTCTCGCCTACATGGCATCAACGTAAACGCTAAAAATACTTACANCGAAAAAGAAATAAATTCCAAAGGGAGCCCTGTATACTATTATATCATCATGCTCTGTAGGAAACCCTGTAAAAAAGTAACTTTGAATGAAACCCTGTAAAAATGAAGAATTAGAAAAAATACAGATGTTTTTTTCCGTACTTTAACAAACATCAGCCAACAACTGGTATCTTAGAATAAAATAAGATTCAAAAATTTTTCCAAAATATTTTTTTCGAAATTGTTAGTTCATACCAAAAGTTGGTTTGAATCTTGTTTCTAAACCAAAATGATTCGATCAAGCATGAGAGAGAAATTCTCTCCTAGATGCAGAAAAAAACTGCCGAATTTCAAAAACCCTACTGCAGAGGAGTTAGTTCTTTTGGGATGAAAACTCTTCAACTAAAAGGTTTAACAAAAACTTTAGATTCAGAGGAATAAAAAGATTTAAACAAAGAAGGCCATCTTTCTATCTATTTGTATTATTTGTTTCTTTCTTTCTCGAATAATCGCCTCAAACTCTAATTTTCTAATCCCTTTATGATGGTGTAAGCCTTGGACTAAAATTTTAACCAAAAACCCGGATTTTTTTGTAA